TGGTATCACTTCGCCACTGTTATAGCCCACGACCAGATCGATGATATCACTTCGCCACTGATATACTAACCCACGACCAGATCGATGATATCACTTCGCCGCTGACGTTCTAGCCCACGACCAGATCGATGATATCACTTCGCCACTGATGTTCTAACCCACGACCAGATCGATGATATCACTTCGCCACTGACGTTCTAGCCCACGACCAGATCGATGATATCACTTCGCCACTGATGTTCTAACCCACGACCAGATCGATGATATCACTTCGCCACTGATGTTATAGCCCACGACCAGATCGATGATATAACTTCGCCACTGATGTTATAGCCCACGACCAGATCGATGATATCACTTCGCCACTGATGTTCTAACCCACGACCAGATCGATGATATCACTTCGCCACTGATGTTCTAACCCACGACCAGATCGATGATATCACTTCGCCACTGATGTTATAGCCCACGACCAGATCGATGATATCACTTCGCCACTGATGTTATAGCCCACGACCAGATCGATGATATCACTTCGCCACTGATGTTATAGCCCACGACCAGATCGATGATATCACTTCGCCACTGATGTTCTAACCCACGACCAGATCGATGATATCACTTCGCCACTGATGTTCTAACCCACGACCAGATCGATGATATCACTTCGCCACTGATGTTCTAACCCACGACCAGATCGATGATATCACTTCGCCACTGATGTTATAGCCCACGACCAGATCGATGATATCACTTCGCCACTGATGTTATAGCCCACGACCAGATCGATGATATCACTTCGCCACTGATGTTATAGCCCACGACCAGATCGATGATATCACTTAGCCACTGATGTTATAGCCCACGACCAGATCGATGATATCACTTCGCCACTGATGTTATAGCCCACGACCAGATCGATGATATCACTTCGCCACTGATGTTCTAACCCACGACCAGATCGATGGCACCCCCCCCCCCTCACATAGCAACGCCTGTTTGTGGCCTACATTGAACGCCTTTAACGATTTATAAATACCAAATGTTTGTTTTTTAGAAACACAATGTCACATGCCCCCCCCGCAGTGTACATTTTACAAATTACAGTAACTTGGTCTGCGAGTGTTTTGCAAGACGAGCAAAAATTTAAATAAATATTAATTTGATAAACGAGCGAGGTCTTGCAATACGAGTATAGTACGTGCATACGCTTTGTCTGTCTAGCGCCATGTGATCACAATTGATATACGAATGATTTGATATACGAGTGCTTTGATATAAGAGTGATTTGATATACGAGTGTTTTAGATTACAAACGTTTCCAGGATCGAATTATGCTCGCAATCCAAGGTTTTACAAATTATTATAATTGAATGCAATACTGCTACTAGCACAGTAACGTGTGCCTGTATAGTTTATCTTTGTGTTCATAATGGTTATAAAGAAACAGTTGATGTGACAAAGGAAAACATATAAATAGATTATATCTGCCCCCCTATCATACATATGTTAACAATATACAGACGTGAATTAATATAAACTATAACCACAGTCGCTTGTCCCCTATTGTGTATGCCATGTTCTACATGTTATAGTAATGTAACTGTAGATTTGTATTCGGTAAAGTGTGCTTGTATAGTTTGCCTCAGTGTTGGTAATACTCTATACAAGTAACAACATTGTAAATTAGGTGAATTATAAACGTTGCGATGTTTTATCTTCATTTCACTACCCCTATTGTGCATACATCACCAGCCCAGAGGCATCAACACAACACTCTTCGACAAATTACTGCGCGAATGTTAAAATAAGCACGGTAGTTAAGCTAGCCAGTTAGTCGAACACCACTTTGTGAGTTAGTTACACCGATATATAAATGTAATATTGTAAAACGTTTAAAAATAAACATTAACGACGACCGAAAGGCGACGATGTCATGCCCGGCACTTACCTCTCCGCACAGACGAGGATCTGTACCGACCGAGGGACTTATTGTAAACTTAGAAGTAGCCCATTTTAATGGTTTTAAATCAACAATAAAAGGAATAAAAAATAAAACCGAACGAGCCCTCAGCTCCGTCGAGTGGGGACTGACCCAAGGGACGACCCCCCACTGGACCTCACCCTCCGCACATTCATATCCCTCCGCGCAGGGCGACCCTAAAATATATGTAATTTGCGTCAATGTGTGCGATATTTATAGATGTTATCTTCTCTTAAAAGGAATACGTTAATATGCGCGCGTAATAATGGGATTTGCGACGAGATAAATTGTTCAAATACGGATATGTTCGACGGGATTATTTTTTTGAGGAACGTCAAATCCGGACCGCCTTACTCGCGACCATGACGTGATAAAAACAGACGTTATTTATTTACAGGACAATTAACTATACCACAATTTTTTTTTCAACAACATAGCTTCACCTTCTCTCCACATTTCCCAATTAATTTGATGGACACGGGGCTGAAAATAAATATTAGCTTTTAAAACGAGCTACGTGTTGGTAGGACGTGACGTCATGGTGGTTTTGGCGCAAATTTCAAAAGAACAAAGGAACTTTACAATCTCAACCACAACCGCTTTCTCGCGCAGAAACAATGCAATGTGCCCCTCACAATGTCGACTTACAATGAGCCTTCACAGTGCACTCTTTACATTGCACCATAAATTTTACTTTATAGTGTTCCCTCACTCGTTAACGTTACAGTTCCCGCACGATGTTTCCCTCATACTTTTCCTCGTCAATTTAATTAAAAATGTTCCTCCCTCACTGCTGTTCACGGATTTTCCCTCAAGATTCACTCCACAACGTTCCCTTTTTTACTGTTCACTCAGACGTCCATTTCGCTTCCTCGGTATCCTGTCGTAATGTGCCCTCAACGATGCCCTGTTATAATCTCTTAGTTCCCTTACCTTCTTAAAATATAAATATTCTCTCACTGTCCACTTCACAATATTCCCTCACTGTTTCATCACAACGTTCCCTCAGTCCTCTTAAAATGCTCCCTCAATCTGCTTATTTGCTCCCTCACAATGCCCCCCTCATAACGTTCACTCACCAATACATTAAATGTTCCCCCTCATCACTGCCCCATTACTCTTGCCTCATACCACCCAGTCGTGGCAAGCTGTTGTATCATCACAATGTCCCCCCCACAATGTCGGTACAAACATTGTCGGTCCCCTTCAAGACGATGCCGTCCAGTTATTCCCACAATATTCCTCCTCACGTTGTTTCCCTTACAATGTTAAAGTAAATTAAAATGAAACGTTAAAAAGAACCTCCACGTTTGCATGCTTTGTTTTGTAATGCACACTCCCTGCATAATGAGAATGTTACTTGCTGGGGGTTTGCAAATAATTTATTTTACTCGATTGCTGTTTATTTTTGGTAAGAATCTTTAAAAGCAAGAGTCGTGATGGGGGAAAAACGGACCACGTTTGCAATTTGTTATTTCTATTGTTGTTTAAATAAAGTGGTGCATCAACGTGATCATCATCGCCATCAGTGTTTCTATTGACATGTGCCCACTCAAGGTGGGAAACATTGGAGAATGCCTTCATCGAGCAGTGGATAGACAATGTCTGACAGTAATAATGATGTTAGGAGGGCAGCTTACGTGCGAGACTAATGCACAATGGTCCGTGGGGTTGTTCTAGGCAATTGGGACAGATGGCAGATGCCAGCGAGGGTTGTGGGGTGTGCCTGTGAAGTGTTTGCCTGCTTGTCCTTTTAATTCCACGACCAGTTTGTACTGGTCACAGCCATGTTGGTGCCTTGCCCAAAATCCCACCACACAAACCTTATCGCCTTGTCCCATCTCTTCCTGACCTCCCCACATTTTGCTTTCCCTCCCCTCTCTCTCTACCTATATCCTTACAGATGGGAAACAATCTTAAAAGAAAACCTCTCTTTTATACCAAGTCTCATCCTGACCTCCCCACATTTTGCTTTCCCTCCCCTCTCTCTCTCTACCTATATCCTTACAGATGGGAAACAATCTTAAAAGAAAACCTCTGTTTTATACCAAGTCTCTTCCTGACTTCCCCCATATTTTGCTTTCCCTCCCCTCTCTCTCTCTCTCTACCTATATCCTTACAGATGGGAAACAATCTTAAAAGAAAACCTGTTTTATACCAAGTCTCTTCCTGACCTCCCCACATTTTGCTTTCCCTCCCCTCTCTCTCTCTCTCTACCTATATCCTTACAGATGGGAAACAATCTTAAAATGAAACCTCTGTTTTATATCAAGTTTAATGTTGGCCATAGGTTAGGTTATTGCAAAATGCACGTTTAGAAACATTTCACCATCTAATTTGAATTTCACCAACATGTCCATGTCAACTGCAGAGTGTGACTTCATGACACACCGTTTGTGTGCATTATTTATTCAATCGAGCACTTTAATTTCCCATAATTAGTTGTTTTTTTCTGAATGCTGTAGGTGCTGTATGGATTGTTGCTTTGCAGGGCCGTGAGGGATGGTGGATTTTGGGGGGGGAGCTTTATCAAGCAGTGGATTGTTAATGAAAAACGTGTGGTGACGTTACTCCTACTTATTATTGAGTGAAATTATTTATAATTTTCATAATTATAAACTGTATACAGTACATGTATATTTGTTTACCAAAAGTGTCATCATTATGGGTGCATCATTGGCAGCGGCAGTGTGTGGCTCAAAGCCACGGCACGACGAACCTGACGACCCGAGGTTTGATTTCCAGCCACAACTAACATGAGTGGCGAATCTAATCCGGTCCCTGGGTGCCTCCCCTTCACCAACCTGTACGCCCAAAACGGTGTGTGGGAGACCTCAGTCTAGAAGGAGATGGACAAAAGATGGTCGATATCATACTTAGAATATATTCAAAAGTACAGGAGGGCTTTTTCGTCCCCCGCTGAGAAAACACCTGGAAAATTTTACCGACGATGGGATTTTAAAAACTAATTAAACGATGGGGTCACTTTTCACAGACACAGTCCACACTTAAACCATTCAGGGCACAAGAGGCAGAACTTTATTTCAATCGACGTTCGATGGCATCACATCTAAGTTTTCGGGCTGTTTGGTAACATACTACAGAGGCATTTGCACACCAAGCACAAATTACATTTCAGCAAGTGCAATTATAGACATGCAAGCTAAACCGAGTGACCACCAGCTGCCTTCTACTAAGCAGGAAAGTGACCTGCGAGCATTAAAAAATATTCATAAGCAAGATTAATCCTCGTGTTGCTGGGTGCACATTAAAACAAACCCAATCAAACAAATAAACATTACATTATTATTTTTATGTCAATAACACATCTTTTTAAAATCAATCATATGTAAACAAATGCAAAGCAGAAGTAACGTATTGCATTGTGTTAAGACACGTGCCTTCAGATCGACACGTTTTGTCTGTAAATTGTCATGTAAAGAGGGGAATGGTGGTACTAAATCTCACAATAAGGAATGTGTGCTCACAAATGCAGAAAGGTAGCTTATTAGCTTTAACAAAATCTGAGTGCAGAGCCAGGCTATAGAATAATCTTCAACAGTACAACAATGAATGATGCTGTAGCATCGGTGGTGAGATGCCAACTACTTCGCCTGGTATACAGGAGGCAGTAGGTTCGATCCCAACAACTGACGCCTGCATATTTGGAGTCTCTGCGTGGATTTTTCTCCAGGTCCTCCGTTCTTTTCCCTCCACATTTAGAAACATCAGTTGAGAGGACTGGCTGCTATACATTTTCACAAAAGCCACTTTTTTTAGCTATCATTTGTGGCCAGGTCACTGCTGAAAAAAACTATGTAGCTCAGTGGGCCTTACCTAATAAAATAAAAACATATTTTAACTTAAAACAACAAAATATAGAATCCTTAAGGCAGATGTTAAATGACAAAATAAACATTGTTAAGAGGTCCCTCAAAAAGAAGCCTTTGAATCTCAAAAATGTAATATTATACCTCATCTGGCCCACAGACCCTGTGTTAGATTCACGTGGTGTTGATCTCAGGTCAGGGATGATTTATCCCAAAGACTCCGAGATCTGACAACAGTGTTATCGGCACACTTAACTCTCTACCTGCGAGATGTTTCTGTAAAGTGCACAGAGTGCTCAACTCACATCTGCACCCTGAAATATTTTAGGCATACATGCATGGGTACGTGTGCCTGTGTAGCATTGGCAGATAAATTCAAATGATCACTTTCATTCTTGGTTCAGTAAAGTTCTGATTCATAATATGGTCTTCAAGCATTCAAAGAGAAATGCTAAATCTACATATCTTACAGGGTTCGTTTTTTTGTTGATCATATTTGCATTGTTTACAGAGTTGTCAAGGAGGTACATAAAGGCCACACAAAGTGAACTAAAACTCTACAATATACAAAAAAAAACACGTGTCTGACATTAGCTCGAATATGTTGAACTATTGGTTACACATTAACCGTGAAACGAACAAGAGTGTGGCATACAGCAGTTTATCAGTGCAGGGCAGTGGACATTAAGTCAAAACGCACATGATCTTCTTGCGATGGTCCACTTGGCAAATGAAAACACAAGAAAGCGACGATGCAATGACTTCAAAAACACGACAGTTGTTGCATTGTTTTAAAATATATATCTTCTCTTTTTCTACGTGAATATGGACAGTCTACAGAACCCTGTTTGCTAATAAATACTTAAATACCACGTTCATTTTACACAATGATATATGAAGTAATGCTAAGACACGTGCACACACAAATCAGATCCAACCATTCATTGCCCGTTTGACATTGCCTCAATTGAGCGACTCAGAAGTAAATATTTCACCACATGGACCTGAAAACACAGCCACAGACTACAACTCTACAGTAATGAGTAAGTACACTTTTCATTTATAACCTTCATGTAATGAACATATTAAATATATGGTTTATAAAAGCTACACGGTTAATAAGGCTGATGGGGGGGAAAAACGATTACAGGGCTCAGTTTCACTGAACGTGCGTTTTATTATCCATCTCTGAAATAAATATGCCCTTACTGCAGTTACAAGCACTCACAAACGTGAACTTCAGTGTCGAAACTAATCATAATTCCACATTTTTGTTTTACTAACAGTGAAAAATACTGGTAGATTGTTGCTGTTGGCAGCCGTATAGTGAAAGCCCATCCATTCGCACCAAATTCACGGAGACCGCTGTAGATTAATATTTATTGTCTAAGCAATGTGCAAATAATTTTAATGCATGCAGGTAGGCATACATGTGGATAGAATTGGTGTTTATGTTAAACGCCAACACCTTCAGCCTACCAATATGTCTCGTGGTATTATCTAAACTGTGGATATGCATCACTGACGTGATGTACATAATAACATCATAATCTACTTAAGTGCTGTAAGAACATACTGCGGCTCATAAAATCTAGATAAAATGTAATCTGCTGACATAATTGACGTCTCAGATTAGTTTTAATGTTGTATATTTTAATGTAACGAAAACCATGCAATAATGCATATCGTAATGATATAAAAAAAAATATAACCGCAATTTAAGTGCGAATCGGTGACATTTCACTATATATAAAATCCGTGTTGTTAATGTCGAGCTAACGGAGGAATTGAATGCCATTTAAAATAGAACTACCCGTGGCAAGCGCCCTATGTGACATTAAGTGGTACCATTATTGTGTTCACAGTGAGTGTTCTTTCAGGAATGTGGGGGGGGGGGGGGGATAGAGAAGTCGAACTCAAATTTGAAATCACAACAGCCACATTACAAACGGCACAAGTATTAACAACCACGTCTGGTGTGATAAATGACCCCGCCACGGGAGGGCGCTACATCTTTTTCTCCCGGGGAAACACCGGGTACTTCCCGCTCATAGCTGATACATGGGACTTGGTCGGTGTTCACAGAAAATGAGAATCACCGTAACTTCCCTCCAGCATGACGTGTGACGTTTTGGTCCACGTGACGGTAGCTGCTTCATGCACTGAAATGAGCCAGCCTGAAACTCGATATAGTCGAGGGAGAAAGTGAGTGGCTTAGTTCAGTTCCTGCAGTAGCTCCCAGTACGTGGAATGAAACGTTGGGCATCAACCCGAAATAAACATCACAAAGCGATACCCGCACAACCATGAAGCCCTACACAGTAGTGGCATTATTCGTGGCTTGCCAAGTAAAATTAATCGATGACAATCAATTCTTGAGCTCCCAATACACGCATCAATTTGTGCGTCTGAAAATTGATCATTTCCAATTCATGTATATATTTTTTTGACGCCAGTGTTTCTCGAACTGCAGTCCTCGTGACCTCCAGTTTGAGTTCTGATCTTTTCCATTCATATGCAAATTGTGCCTCTCTACATGTTGCACGTACCTGATAGTTTATCATTGCAAAGCGGAGGGGTCGCCAGACCTAGATTTGGAAAAACACTTTTATGCGATTGATTCATGGAAACCCTACATCCACTATCAATTATACACCAATCATAAGGGAAAAATAAACATAGATTGTTGAATAGTATGAGCACCTTGATTTGTGAAAATAGAATTGTGGATGTGGTGAATTTTTGCAAGCCTACCAGAGACCCTAAGAACTCAAGTGGAACGATTGCATTTAAAACCTCTGTGGGCTGCCTTGGAAATGCTGTAGAATGAAATGCTAAGCACACTTCACAACTGCCATGGGAGTGGTGGGATACGGCCATGATGTCAGCACTTTGCAGGTATGAGTTTCTGGATCATGCGCATTTGAGAAACACCCAGCCCCACTAGGAGGCAATGTCGCTTCAAATATCCTTGTTTTCTCTCCCATCTGAATCACAACTTGATGATAAACTCTCGATTCTTTATAACTCCACTTGCAGCTGCTTTGGATATATAACCTTGTCTGTTTAAATATTAGTACTATAGTCAACCTATATGTTTAATGTTTCTGCAGCTTAGTTTTGGCAACTGCGCTATGATCTAGAGGTAATCTGCCCAAGTTGATTGGCACTGCAGGCAATTTTATATTTAGCTTTGATTTAACGTTGATTTAAGGTTTGTGCAATGCTTAATTCCTCATATGATAGTGTTTTTTGTTTCCATTTCTTTACTTCATTGCTATACTTTGTCAATTTGGTGACCCGGGTTATTCTTGAAAATGCGACAGAAGTTCTGTTATATTTAGTTCTAACCTGGTTAAACAAAACAAAACTTTTACTGGAAATTTGAAGGTGGCAAGGAGATAGCAGCCCGACACGTGAGATTGTGGACCTGTCAGTGATGACCTTGGAGTGTGATTCTGCCCTTGTATGGCGAGTTTTCTGCAGCCACTCCAATCTCCTCCGACACGCAAAACACTCCTTACATTGGAATTGGGACACAAACATGTCAAGGCAGAACCCTGCTGATAAGAGTCATGAAACTCAATAAGGCTTTCCTGTCTAAATAAAATACCTTTAATCACATTACCATCCTCAACACGACTTTACGATTGAAACATATCATCTAACATGTTCACTGATGGACCCCTTACAGAAAGAGAGGCGGGGGGAACTGTGGCAATGTAAAATTTAGACTTGTATTTCATATTGATCTACGATAGTTCGACTTCCCTTGATATCCAACCCGCTCAATATTTCCCAATGCCCAGCCCGTGCACCGCATGCATGCATGCGAACGCCAGTGTTTGTGCACCCACGCCGCCCGGACTGGCTTCAGGTGTCCACCTTGCCGAAGGTGCCATCGGGCGGGCGGTAATGTCTGGGGAAGGTGACGAGCTGCAGGCAGTTGAAGGCGTACTTGCGGCAGCCCACGTTCTTCATGGTGTTCTCTCGGCGGCAACCCTCGCTGAACACACGGGGACACACGCGCGCACACACACACAGCCCCACGTACGCGCCCACACACACACACACACGACTCGCGCGCGCACGCATGCACGCGCAGGCCGTCGCGTGGTGCGCATGCAGCACGGGCACGCGTACAAACAGCGGAAGGGATGTGGGGAAAACAAAAGGGAGCGGGGGGATAAAAAAAAATAATAGCAAAAATATATGAATTGCAAAAGTAAATAATGGCAGGAGAAATAAATAAGTTACACCAAATAATGACTAAATGATACCGCAATAAATGATGTTGTGCGTATTGGTGAATTGAAATGCAATCGGCAATCGTTTTGGCAATGACAGCTGCAAAACGATGTGAAGTTGTGGATTAAGGTTTTTATTCTTCATGGAATGATGGAGTGGGTGTTCTCTGGGTATGGTAGTCCAGCTATTCCCCATTGAATTGTACATGTGTTATCTCTGTTATGACCACCTGAACTGTCACACAGATGTTCCTCTGCCCTTTCTCCAAAAGGCAAAGGTCAACTTCAAGTCATCCCTGCATATGCACATGTGCTACAACTCCGTCCTATAGTATGTCATATGTATGACAGAGGAGTAGCTGAATACCCTGATATTATTTAATAGGCGTTATTACAAGTACAGGTATGACTGGATGCCATATCATTGATGTGACACACATCGCGTGGCGTGAGGGTTCTGCCTTTGTAGTGAGGGTTGCAAGTTGACGCCGAGGAGGGGGGAGGAGGCGCCTCGGCCCCCCATGTGGAGTGACGTCAGCCGCTAATTATTATGAATGGGGGGGGGTGTCCATTTGGAGGACGTCACCTGCTCATGATTATTAATGAGGAGGGCTGTTCGATGTGGAGTGACGTCACGAGCGTTAAGGGCAGAGATTCCTGAGTAATTATAGTAGGTGTATGGGTTAATCCGGCCCTGTGAATACCATAATATGTGATACGTGTGGTGGAGATGAAAGTAGTCCTTCCTACTTTAGCACAATATGAAAAATGTTCAGTGTCAAGTCTGAGACTCAACAATTTGCATCAAATGACATTTCGTATTTTTCCACAATTGTGTTCCAACTGTGTTCTCAGATGAAGAGTCCACTCACAAGTCTCTCAGATGAGTGCATTATCCCATCGGCCTGCAAAAGCTGATAAGTAATTATCAGACAACTGCTCCTGAGATCCATTCAAGTCACCCGTTATATACACGAGGAGAACTGCACTTTCTTATGTGCCCTGCTAAAGAGATGACCACTTTTTATTTTAAGGCAAATTAAGAAAAATAAACGCGAATTTAATATTACGTGTTTTTATAGGGTTTTGTAGAGTCACTGACACCTTAAATTCACGACGCATGGGAACCGGGCTTCAAAACCACATTGCGATTCGGGATCTCAACAGCGCTGGCTCAATGTTACCCTGAGCCGACCTGAAAACTACCAGTCAAGTTTTTTGTTTGTTGATGAAGCGTTGCTCTCTCCGATTGCGCTCAAAGCCTCCAATTAGAATGTCAATTGCCTCCCGTGCAATTTACACCATATCCCTTTGGCAACGCAGCGGGTGAGAGAGAGCTCGTTGAAATTGTTGAAATCCAATTTTACTTCACCGTGAACGGCGGGCGCCAACATCGGAGGTGCGCCACTCCTGGTTGAAGGGTCTCCACTAGACGAGGCTCTAGGGAGCTCAAGAGAGACCCCTCTCGTGGGTAGTTGGGCCTGCTATTCAATGGATTTATTGCATAATTGGGATTTTTAAAAAAGCAACATCGTAAACTGTGGCTTCCACGTTTTGCGAACTGATGCTTTTGACGGAACGTTACACCAGAAAAAAAAATCATAGCTATCCGAAAAAAATGAAAAGGCACACATTTGTGTTTCATCACGTGACATTCCCTTTTTTATGTAACAAAAAAGCATATGGTATTCATAATTACATGTTATGGTACCTACATTCAAGCCTCACATTTCACAAGCGCACACCTGCACGCAGCTACCCGCTCGCACGCACACATCGCCAGCGCAATGACCCGTAACGCAGCAGCGACTTTGAAATGCGCGACCTTAATGAGTCACAGCTGATGGCGTAACATGCAGGCCACCGTGCTGCAAACTGCATAAGAAAAACGCTATTTCGGCAGGGTGAGAGAGGTAGAACAAACTACTGCCAGTTATCGTTTTGCTTTTCAGACGGGGGGGGGGGGGGGTGTCTTCGAACCTGCGAGCGTGACATTAGGGTTAGTGTACCTGCTAAAGGATGGGAGTATCCCTAAGTTTGTGTTTCGTTGGCCAATAACATCCCGCGAAGATTCACACTCCCAGTGTAGGCTACATCATTATTAGGCATGTAACAATTTGCAGCCAGTTCATAAAATCACTGTTGCAATTTGAGGTGATGATTTGGTTATGATTTGGTTATGATTAGATTGTTTTTTTATCTGTAACATGTTTCCCCAGTCTGGTGACTGCACGAGTCACAGGAACCAATGACATACAATATATTATCATCTACCACGATATAGCCACTGTCAATCACATAAGCTGAGTTTAGGAAAGTGTTCTCGACCATAAACTTCATGCATACTATCAGTCATATCTTGGAAAAGAGATGAGAAAAAAATGGATTTTCACACACACGATTCGATTAATGTGCCATGCGCATAAGAATCTATTTTAATCTGTGAATCGATGCATCATTACATGCCTAATAATTGTTAACACGCCAGCCATTGGTCTAAAATGATGCCAAATCAAATTAGACAACACACATTCATCTATCAAGATTCCTTGATACAAAGTGTCACTTCAATGCATATGCTTGTCACATTCTGTGGGTAACTACACAATATTGCACTTCAAAGTGGCACACAAAACAGAAAGACTTCTAACTATAATCCGTTCAATAATCAGTACTTTAGCTGCCAGAAGCCTGCTTCATTTGCACAAACTTTAAGTGACAGACCAAGCTGCAGCCGAGATGAAGCACTCTGCATCCGCAAATCATGGCTCGCTTATACATTCAATAAAGTACCCAACAATCCCACATCTGCTTACATTTGCTCCCCAGTTATTGCAAACACTTGGAAGGGCCTTTGTTTGGAGCGCGGGGCAAATACACCACCCGTAAACTCTCACCCTTCCAGATTACCAACGTCATAGCATTCCCAATGCCCAACTAGAAGTACCGGCCACACGAGAACGCCACTAAATGGACACCCAACTGCCGCTCATTACGCGGCCATCCAAACGCTCCGTGGCGAGCTGCGCGAAGAACCCTAACGGCACTCTTTGGCACGCGCAAAGCAGCCTATAGCCATGCACACCGAGGCGGAATTCCACGCCCTAACAATGCTGCATCCATCAGCCCTACCGACTTAACGAGAAAAGAAGAAAAGGTGGTCCCCCGAATTGTTGAAGGACGTCACAACCGCGTCACAAACAAGCTCCCGGCGACGTTCGCCCCGCTCGGGTGTCGTTAATTGACGGCACGTTTACATGCGGGGCATGCAGTCGATTTGAGATGCAGGAGAATAGAGAAGAGTCTGGCTGCATGCGGGGGGGGGGGTCTGCTGACAGTTCAGCTTGCAATGCACATTTGTCCCGGCCCCCATTGTTCAGGGCCAAAGGCGGCGGTCGGTCGATTGTTGTTGATTTACAGATAGAAAGGAACAATTCCCACAATTCGGACGCCGCTCGCTGCAATGTCTGCCTAAGCTCCAAGCTTTTAACTTGCATAATGCCAGCAAAATGCTAGTACGTATGTATGTATGCGTATATACATTTAGTATAATGAATCAGTTTTTACTGTTGTACTGTTTCATAGGACAAAAATATATAAAGGTTAGAACTAAACGGCATAAAAGTCTCAGGAGATATAATTAAGACTGCGAATTTTAAACTTTGACAGAAACTTGAATTAAAAACACAGGTGCCTAGCATTCCAGCCAGAGCAGCATGTATCATAAAACTGACATTTGCGCAGGAAACTTGATAACACTGCTCGACGAAGCACTCGCTCAGGTTATTAAAATGTTACAAATGAGACCAATAGGGGAAAAAATGGCTTGGGTTTTTACTGTAAACAGCGCAAGTATGATTTCCCGACACCACCGCCGCAAAGCCCCTTGTCACATGGTCCTGTCTTTTATTTCTGCTTCTAAGCCCCTCGCTTAATCTCATCATGGTGACTGTTGAAATATGAATTTTCCAAGGACCTGTCCCCAGTTGCTTCATCGCAGTGGGGCCGTGGGAAAGTCATGTTTCAACTCCCATCTATATGTCAACATTAATTACGGTTGTTTAAATTCACAGGCTCCGGAGGATTTGTGGCTATGGCCATGATGAATCCAGCAAGGACATAAACAAGGGTGACTATGCCAGTTCCCAGACTGAATCCAGGGGAGGTCACTCCTCACCTCCTTCAGGGCCCTCTTTTTTACCTTTATTTAACCCCTGATTCCTGGATAATGAACTTTCATTGTAATTAGCTATGTCTAACTCACGTGCCAGTGGAGAGCATATTTCATCATTTTTTTTCGCAGAAAAATGTCAAATTGGTATCGGTTCAGCCATTCTTTTCTGCAAAATACCAGTAGAAACTGCCTTTCCGACAACACGGAGTCCAGGTACAATCATAATGGTCGCTATGTCATCATCACAGTCCCTGTTATCACTCTCACCAGTCATCATCATCATTGCCTTCATTGTTATCATCATCATCACAGTCACCATCATAACCATGGTCACCATCGTGGCCAGACACCATCACCACTATAGTCATCATCACAGCCACGATCACCACAGTCACCACCATCATCACCACCACAGTTGTCACCCTATTCACCACAGTTGTTATCATCGCCAAAGTCATCATCATCAGTCACCTTCATCATCACAGCCACGATCACCACAATCAACACCTTCATCACCATCACCACCACCACCACAGTTGTCATCCTATTCACCACAGCTGTTATCATCGCCAAAGTCATCATCAAGATCGTCATCCTCAACCGTCGTCGTCGTCATCGTCCGTGGGGTGTCGTCGGCGGCGGTGGCGGCGCCATAGTCACTGGCAGCGGAACCGCGTGAGCAGCAGCGCCACGCTGAGGCACAGCCACGCCAGCAGCATGTGGGGGCTTAGCGCCAGCAGCGGCAGCGAGTACAGGAGGCAAGGGTCCACGCACAGCTCCCGCCACGTGGCGCCGCCGCTCACGCTCTTCCACACGGCCATCTCGCACGTGCCCACACTGCCGCAGCGCGACGCGGTGGTGCGGGAGTGCCGGACGATCGTTGGATTTGTTTTTTTTGGAGTCGGTGGTTGGAGGCGAGTTGAATGAAAGTCAGTTTTTAGTCGGAAGGATGATCGGTGACGGTACGGATGTATGTAAATTGGAGGAATTTCAATTGAGTTTTGTGATTACGTCACAGAATTGATTCGTAAATGTAGCCCAAATGGGTTCAGAAGCAGTGGTCAACAAAATTGAGTTTAGTAAGAACGTATGATGACAACAACACGGCAGCAGGACGACAGGGCAGAGTTTAAGGTGTCGCGTGGAATGAGAATGCAAAGGGTACAGTAATCAACAAAGATGAAAGTAATATATAGAGTTGGGTCCCCATGAAACATTATTGTGTAGAGACAAATTGTTTGTGAGGATTAACATTGGCATAAAAATAAACGTAGGCAGGATTTGGTTGTGTTTTGTTGTGGTTCGGGTGAAATGGCATGCCTTTGTGTGGTTTGAAATCAAATAAAAATTGATATTCGGCAGAAGCAAAATATAATAATTTGATTGCAGTGAAGAAGCAAGTGCATTTGGGAACAAATAAAATCAGAAGGGAGACGGGAAAGAAAAATATTCTGCTCTAGTTGGTTAATTTAACAAAAATTTCAAACAAGACGCAACAGACGTTTAGTTATTGACTTTGACATGCAGTGTGTTTTTTAAATATATATAACATCTTATAAAATACAACTTGGCCAAGAGAGTTGAGCACGAAGGCCATGAATGACTACTGTTAATACTCAGGCATGTGTGTGTGTCATGAACAGCGGTAGTGCAGCGGTTAGCACGCTACCAACCCGGCAACCCGAGCTCGATTACCGCTCACGATCACCAACACCAGTAACGATTATCTGAACCGGCCCTGGGCCTCCCCCTAGGTCGACTCAGCCTCAAATGAGGCTGAGTAAACATCGACACAAGGGAGACAAAGGCGGCCGGGCGTGGTGTTGACCACCCACCCCCTCGTGTGCCGTGCCGGCCTTCATAGGTGCCCACTAACAACACTTGCCCCAACGGTCTGTTTAGGCTATACGGGGGATCTTTGTCTTTTTGTCATGAACAGTGGTCACAGAGTTATTTTCCACCCGAGTGGGTGGTTTAATTACCACAGCAGCTCTCTCGTGCATGGGGTTACTCTTGTTACTCTGGTTCACTCCCACGAGCAAAATACCCATTAAGGAAATAGCCAAATTTCCCATAAAAAAACAGAATCTTAAGACTCAGCAAGCCCTTCCTTGATATCTAATTTTACGGGCAAAACTAATGGCTGTGCACTGTGAATGACAATTGACACGCTCCTTAATGTCATTTAGTGAAATGTCGCTGCCTTAAATTTCTCAAACCAGCCAAGCAATACGGTGGTTAGACCACGTGGCTTGCGAGTGGAAGTTTTACAAGTTAAAGTTAAATCCTGGTCAGAAGTCAACTGAGCCCTGCACCCCCCATCAGGGGGTTAAATAAAATAAGTATCAATTTGTGGAAAGTTCGACACAAAAGACTCGTTCCCGCCATAGAAATGTATAATGTCCACCACCAGCTCCGAGCTGTAAACAGGAGATGAACACCACTCGATGTTCATGTGAACAGGAAACCAATTTTTTTTTTACAATTTCCCAACTATGCATTGAGGTGTAGCTTGTAAAAACTTGACAACCTACTAACAAATATTGTTCAAGATAACCCACTCTGACGACGGCTACGCAATAAAGTCAGAAATTGACGTTTTCCATTCACTTAATTTATATTTTGTGGGTTATCAATTTTCAATGCACGAGGAAGGCTGAGATGCAGACCTCGTCTGTCCCACTGGCTCCCTCACATACGTATAAATGCACCTGTTCGTGGATGTGGGTGGATGTGTGTGTCGTCTAGCGGTTAGCGTGCTGCACTACGAATCCAGAGACACGAGTTCAATTCCTGATCACAGCTACCATACACCAATGAAGATTATCTGTACGAGTCCTGGGCCTCCCCTAGGTCGATTCAGCCTGAAATAAGTATGTGATTTAATGTGTAATCATTGCCACTATAGAGACAAAGGTGGTGCTGGCCACCAGCCCCCTCGTGTGCCGTGCCGGCCTTCATAGGTGCTCGCTAACAGCACTTGCCGCAACAGTCTGTTAAGGCTATACGGAAGATCTTTGTTGCGTGCGTGCACGTGCTGCGTCTGAGCACATGCAGGTGCATGCCTGTACCTGCGCATGCAGTCCAGCGTCTGCGTGAAGACCTGCGGCGCCATGCCGTGCTCCTGCTGCAGGATCAGGCACTGCTCCAGCGTCACCGACATGGCCGTGCGGTCCTTGGCGCTCTTGCAGCTCGTGAGCCGCAGGCCGTTGAGGCGCCGGCAGGCCTAGGGGGGTGAGGCGGCGCAACAAGGCCGGTTAAAATCGCGCGCCGTTTTTTTTTCTCCCGTCGCCCGATAAACTCTGTAGGCAGGCAGGTATGATCTCATTACCCGGTGTCAGAACGATGAACTCTTTTGGTCACTTCGGTTTCATCCCACACAAAATAAAAACACTTGGAAGTGAAAAAAACTGCCGTAAGACTCAAGAGGGTTCTCTTTTATGGGTAAGGAAATGGATATCACTATTCTGTGATTTATGTTGTAAGACTCCTTAAAAAAAAAAATCGGCCAAAGATCCCAATGCACAAACCTCTGGATAATGTCTTGAGATAGTGAGGTTTTTTTTGACAAACAAACCACTAAAAAGTTAATTGTTATTTAGAATATCGGACCAAGATTGCTCCACTGTATGTATGTTGAACCTCTTTCGCACCGTACGTAGCCAACCGTGTTAATCGGAGGTGCGAGCATTCATCTTTTCACCCGATGCACTCCACACACACACACACGTGAGCAAAGAGACATCGACCTGAAGTGGAGGCCATTACCTCAGCAGCCTGCCACAGGATATCCACGTTCTTGGGTTTGCGCGCACGCACGTTCTGCCCGAGGAAACGCAGCAGTTCTGAGAGGCAGGTCTGGCTAAGGGAGCGAGGGAGGCCTGCGCAGAACGAGCGGGAGAGAGCGGGTGAAGGGGAAGCATAAAAAAAACAATAATACAATATCAATGGAGGGTAATTAGTGAACATGCAACATGGATAAAAAAATCAAAAGTCAAAAGTGATGTCCAGCTCATGTCCTGACTACAGCCCTGAGCAGAGCCGAGATTAACCACTGTTAAATCAATCCATAAGCATAGAAAATATTTCTGGGTAAGCTGTTCTACAACTTTAGTGTCAAACTCCAAATGTCCGTTAAGTAATTCTTAACCGCGTCCATGGTTTCTTGTAATAATAATTTTTTAAATCCACATGGCTGCGGGTTCGGGTCCGGTGAACGGCGGTGGCAAAGCGACAAAAGAAACGGTGGCTCACAGTCATCAGGGAGAAGCTCCTTGAACTGCTCGTAGTAGGAGTTGAGGCGACCCCAACTCTCCAGGTTGATGATCTCCTGCAGCGACGTGTCGCCGAACCTGTGGTGCGCGTGCGGCGGAGAGATGGGTCACTTTACCCTGCCTTCGAGTGCGTCACCATTTCCGTACAGATCGCCAGCTCTGGAGGTCACCACGTCCAAAGTCGTTCATACCACCGCACATTTGTTTTGCTAGGTCATGCAGCTGTTTTATGAGGAAGCCACTGGAGCTATGCACTTTTAAATCTAGATTGAAAACTCGTTTCATGAGAACTGACTTTTGTGTTTAGTTTGCTGCCCTCACCCCGTACCTCCGATTAGCACGGTTTGCTATGTACCGTGCAAAAAAAATCAACATGCATACATACGTTACAAAGTTGTTATTTCTGGGCTCCGATTGCTTGGTCGTGGGACTGTGCTGTCGCGTTGCTTTCTCCCTTCTTGGTCATGTTTTTCTGTCCTGACTCTACCCCCACCCCTGCCATTCTTCCCTTATTTAGTCCCTCAAATGTGTAGAGTATACTGAGATGCGGGTGCTATTTACTGCATGCAATGAACCTTATGGCGGGACTCCGGGGTCCCATAAGCCCCCGGCTCTCGCATCAACTGCGTTGCGACGTCATTTTGTCAGTTGAAGGCGAACGATACGGCAATCTATTTATTCCTCTCGACGAGCTCTACACGATGCGCTAGTCAAAGTTTAATAGTTTTGATTATGACTACGGCAATTTTGGCAACGACGGGTGCTTGGTGAAGAACGAGAGGATTGATTTCTGGTGGGTTGCGGCGTCGATGTGCGAGGTGGGATGGAGTCGCCAAAAATAAATATATTAATTACGGGACCCCATGGTCCCGCCATAAGGTTCAAATGAATTGCCGTTGTTACATTCAACCGCAATTGTTGCCGTAATGAAGTATACATGTACGTTGAACTTCTTTCACACCGTACGTAGCCGACCATGCTCAGCGGAGGTGCGGGAGTGTTAACGCGGGAGTGTGATGGGAGTGTGTGGTGAGCGAGGGCAAGGCTGACTTGTCGGCGAGCGTCTGCTGCTCGTTGATGCCGACGTTGAAGAAGACCGGCTGCACACGCAACAGCATCCCGCTCTGGATCTCCCGCGGCAACGCGTCAAACATGGCCGCCGGCAACGGGATGCGCACGTTGAAGCCGTCCCTGCATTCAGAAAATGACAACGACGACGTCAACAGCAAGACCAACGCTTTTTACAAATGCGTCTACCCCAAAGTATCCAACAACGGTTGACTGTACAAGAGATTTTCACCAAAATGATTCTGTAAGACCGTTCAACTGGCCTTTTTGCACCGAGTACTGTTCTGAACATGCCACAATGCTACTTCATGCGGGTCTCTCCCACATGTCGACCTTGCGGGAAACACTTCATCCTTAATGGGCTCTCATGTGCACGGACAACCCTTTTCTATTTCTATGTTACCAGGTAAGACCCACTGAGCTATGAGCTCTTTTTGAAATGACAGTTCAACAAAGTGGCCTTTCACGTGGAAATTTATCGCAGCCAAATACTCTAAATACGTTTCTAAATGTGGAGGAAAAAAACATGTGTCCACGGGGACAACATGTCGACTCCAAATATACAGTAGGCGTTAGGGCAGAGGTCGCAAACGGGTTTTTATTCCTTACCCGTACCCGGCCGCACCAGGGTCGCAAACGGGTACTCGTAACCGGCCGGGTACGGGTAGCCGGGTATCGGGTAGGGTACGGGTATCGGATACCCAATTGCGACCTCTGCGTCAGGGTCAGAATCGAACCCACGACCTCCTGTACTGCTAGATAAAGGCTGTGCGGGACCGTGCCGGTCAATGTGGGTTGGTGAGGGCAGGGAGGCAGCCCACGGTGGCAGCCATTGCCGGTGACGATTGGCGGCAACGATTGCCTTCAAATTGCCCTGCTGCACCGTGACCTACGGTGGGTGCGGTCTAAGCAATGCCAAGGTTTCCCCAATCGCGTCGGCGCGCACCGATTCCCATCGATGATCGGCAGCATCGCCTCGGCCGAGGCAGTGGTCGACGCGGGAACGACCTTGAAGGTCACGTTGCGAAGGTCGGAGATGCCCACACTCATGTCCTCCACCATCCCGATCTCCTCGCCTGTCAAGAGAGTGATCACCAGATGAGAACGATGACTGTTACTGTTTTTTATTTAACAGTACACAATGCCATTGCAGTGCTTACGTAGTCAAAATGTTTTTTTTTTATTTTAGTCGGTTAGTCCAGTCAACTAACGCAGTCAAACAAATGTAATCCACTCTCTGTTCTTTACAAGTTGGTGCGCGGGGCGTGTAATTTATCACCCTCAATATTCTCAGGTCAGCCGATCAGTAAACTCAGTAAATATTTTCAACGATAAAAATCCAGTATAGATCCCCTCACAAATGCATTCCGATTAGTTAATGTTATCTCGCCATAGTCCGTCAAGCTTCCGTCTTGGGTTAGTAGTCATAGTCATCACCACGTTTTGACGGTATTGATGTAATTATTTTAAGTATTGGCTCTTGAAGCTGAACCCATTTGGCAACGGCATATCAAATGTAATGTATGCCCCAGGAGGTTCAGTTCACCAATTGGCCGACCTTATAATAGTAAGAGGGGAAGGGTGAAAATTACCATCCCCTCGCACCAACGAACGTACGTTATCAGTGACTAAAATAAAAACACTTAGTTGACGGATATTTTCATCACTAATTTCACTTACGAAATTAGCACCGTTGCAACGTTGGTAATGTCATTACAGACTGGGTTCAGGCATGCTGCTCTGCCATTCGTCCATGCCAAAGGCAACGACCTGTGACCCCGAGCCTCTAACCGTAGGTGCTTAGCAGCCCCTCGAACTGTGCCAGCAGCCCGATGGTGTGCAGTTGCCGTAGAAACCCGTCGTCATGGAGACAGCTGCGTAGCTTCACGATGAATCCACACACGAGAGCTGAGAGCTGTGGAAACGCGGGGTCAGGGGGGAGCGAGGTGCCGGGCAGGGTTGCAAGGAAAAGTAAAAAAAAAAATTAGGTGAAATAATGTTTAATATTTTTCTCCTCTTTGTCCAACTCAAAGCAAGGAGGTATGGATGTGAATGCACACCAATTCTATGCATTTATGTTGTTTGCTGCTCATACGGTGAGGTTAAATGATTTGCAAAACAACACCACCAAAAAAAAATTCATGCCGAATATGTCAGGATTTTTTCTTGGCCATTTTTAGCTGCATTGACGTGAATGCATCGCGATGTTTATTTATGGTTGCGCTTTGCAGGTGTGATTTAATGATTCGCAAAATAGCATACGCTTTCATGCAATCTGCACCTGCTGAGGAATATATTACTTATGAATTGCCTATTTACAAGATTTCAAGGGTCAACACTGCAAAAACGAAATACAAAAAATAAGGAGAATTTCAACTTGTAACGCGCGCAGTATTAATTCGCTCACTGTCAAAGAGAGAGAACGACGCAGGGGCGCGGGCAACCACAGAAAAGCGGGAAGAGCAGCTGTGCGGTGAGCCGGCACCAACAATTGCTCAAAATCTGCGGCCTCCTAGATACGAAGATGCTTTTAGCCAATTACTGAGTGGTCAAAACCCATGGGGTCAACACTAAACAGGTGGATAAGGCAGGAGAGTCCACATTTGATGTACCGCCTTCTCCTGCCAAGACAGGGTTACGGCTACTCGATGCCCACATTTTCACAACATTTTCGTGACCCACCAATCCTTGCCTCCACAGTGCCCAGATTACAGTCATGCACCACCACCACCACCGCCCGATTAAAATGACAATGTTCACACCATCAAAGCCTCCATAGATGTGCATAGCCAGGACCCCTACACATACATGTCCTCAGTGTAATGTAGCACTGTGTATAAATAGCATTGTGCAAGGTATCACGATGTGATGTAGCGTGGTCTAACAACGTGTTCCAGAACACACTGTACGTCAACACGTGTGCATTACCGTCGGTGAAATGCAGTGTAACACAGCTTTGCGTACTATTGTGTACCGTGGAACTGTGTAGCGAAGCATCACGTGACGTGCAGTACAGCATGCTGTAGGACATGCATTATAGATATGCGTAATGGAATGTATCATCATGTGGCCTAGCATTATACACCATGCAGCACAGCATAATGAAACAATGCAGCATCATTGTGTATTGTACCAACAGACAATAAGCCGCACAGCATAATGAAACAATGCAGCATCATTGTGTATTGTACCAACAGAAAATAAGCCGCACAGCATAATGAAACAATGCAGCCTCATTGTGTATTGTACCAACAGACAATAAGCCGCACAGCATAATGAAACAATGCAGCATCATTGTGTATTGTACCAACAGACAATAAGCCGCACTGCATAATGAAACAATGCAGCATCATTGTGTATTGTACCAACAGACAATAAGCAGCACAGCATAATGAAACAATGCAGCATCATTGTGTATTGTACCAACAGACAATAAGTAGCACAGCATAATGAAACAATGCAGCATCATTGTGTATTGTACCAACAGACAATAAGCTGCACAGCATAATGAAACAATGCAGCATCATTGTGTATTGTACCAACAGAAAATAAGCCGCACAGCATAATGAAACAATGCAGCATCATTGTGTATTGTACCAACAGACAATAAGTAGCATAGCATAATGAAACAATGCAGCATCATTGTGTATTGTACCAACAGAAAATAAGCCGCACAGCATAATGAAACAATGCAGCATCATTGTGTATTGTACCAACAGACAATAAGCCGCACAGCATAATGAAACAATGCAGCATCATTGTGTATTGTACCAACAGACAATAAGTAGCACAGCATAATGAAACAATGCAGCAGCATCATTGTGTATTGTGCCAACAAACAATAAGCTGCACAGCATAATGAAACAATGCAGCATCATTGTGTATTGTACCAACAGAAAATAAGCCGCACAGCATAATGAAACAATGCAGCATCATTGTGTATTGTACCAACAGACAATAAGCCGCACAGCATAATGAAACAATGCAGCAGCATCATTGTGTATTGTGCCAACAGACAATAAGCTGCACAGCATAATGAAACAATGCAGCATCATTGTGTATTGTATTGACGGACAATAAGTAGCAGAGCACCGATGATAGCGTAGTGTGACTCAGCGTCGTGCGAGGCTCCGTGACGGAGTGTTGGCGGTGCGCTGCCTACGGCCTGCGAGAAGACGAGGTCACGGCGGTGCTGCAGGCCGAGGGCCTGCACGACGGACGCGGCGCCGTCCTGCATGAGCAGGAAGGTGACAGCCTGGCGGGCGCGCTCGCTCAGCATGCACACGCAGTCCGTGAGCGTGGCGAGCAGCGGGTACAGCGTCTCGCTCCACTCCGCGCCTGCCGCCGTCACCGAAAGCGCGAGTGCGGGTCAGGCAAACGGGCGGGCGCGTAACGACGCGTCGATTCATCGAAAGTCTGCATTGAACCGCATGGGGTACGCTGCGCTGCAGACACAGCCATCTCCTACACCGATGGACAACTTAGAGATCACAGTGCAACCGTAGTCACTAAACGCTTTTCTGCAGACAGACGTCAAGGTTCTAAAGAACCAATGACGAGCTTTGAGATGAGTGTGACCTTTCAACTACAGCAAGGAGCCTGAAGTCGTCGTCAGCCTAACATTTTCCCGCACCTCCAGTAAGCGCGGTTGGCTACGTACGGGCGCGGAATAAGTTCAACATACGTACATTTTCCACAATCACAATCGGCCAATAGTCTTTGGTAAACATAAAACAAAACATTGAGAGGACACGGGGAGTGGGCAGTTGTGTATACACTCAATTTACAATACAACCAAAGCACCACTGCATTCCAGACACTTGTTTGCAGAAGCACAACCATGAAAGCCATTCACACCTGTGTCACCCTACCCCGAAGCTCCCCCAATGTTTGTCACTGTTTGAATTTCCAGCCACACTAGAATCTACAGTCCCAGACAGCAGTGTGCGATGCTTACCAGTAGTTGGTGTCAATTCCACCAATGTCAGTCCTCCATCTGCAAGAGACACAATGGCGACAGGGTGAAGGGGGTAACACAATGCTGCCATCTTCTTCTTATAGCGTGCGCCTACTTGATCAAGCCGGACCCACAGCTTCGTCTACAGCCCTCAGTGCTCTCAGTCCTTCATCCAGTCTGCTCAGAGGTCAGACCTCCACAGTATCTGCCAAAGTCTGCACCATTCCCGCAGTCAGGGCTATCCCAGATGTCCCACGTGGCCTTGTTAGCCACGCATTACCCTATCCATAATGCAACATTTGGAAACTTTGTAAGTATGTTGAACTTCTTTTGGACCATACATAGTTTACCGTGCTCATTGGAGGTGCAGGGGACGGACAATATTTTTTTAAAGAAATTAGTTTTCAACCTTGATTTATAAGTGCATAGCTCCAGTGTCTTCCTAATATCTGAAGGAAGAGTATTCCAGACAGCCGCAGAAGCACATCTCATGGCTAGGCAAAAAACGCTGCGAGGATGACCAGTTTTCACGTGATGGTGGCTTATGTTCCTTGAACTTCTTCGAAGCCAAAAGTCCCCCACTGCCCTCAATCTCTCAATCCACTGCATCTGACCCTCAAGTCTCCCAATTCTTGTGGCCTGCACCGGTGGCATCTCCACAGCCCTTCTGATGTGTGGGGCTGTGTGTGAGTCTATGGGTCTCTGAGCTCCGTAGCCCTTCTGATGTGTGGGGCTGTGTGTGAGTCTATGGGTCTCTGAGCTTCGTAGCCCTTCCGATTGCATTTCTTTGTTTCTTTCCAACGCAATGCCACACCATCCAAGCAAGTCTAGCCTCCCTCACCTGCTTGAGAACGGCTCCAACTTCAAGAATATTAGTGACCCCTGCTAAGGCTATGATAATATTTGTAACCCCCACTTTGGGGCGCCACGGTGGCGAAATGTTAACTACCTCGCCTGGTATACAGGAGGTCGTGGGATCAACCCCTGATGCCTGTGGTCGTGTGGATTTTTCTCCAGGTCCTCCGGTTTTTCCCTCCACATTTAGAAAGATGAATTTAAGAGTATTGGCTGCTATAAATATCCACATAATAAGCCACTTCATTGAGCTATCTTTTGTGGTCAGGTTGCTTCTGAAAACGACCTATATAGCTCAGTGGGCCTTGCCTTGGTAACACAAAAATAGCTCGTAGTTCAGTTCAGTTGGTTCTAACTTTTACATTCCGGCTCTGACGCAATGTTTGAAACGGAGGTGGGGGGGGGGGGGAAGGTGGGGGGCACCGTACTCCCAACTCGGGACGATGCCGACAGCTCTGCCGAGGAGAAGACGTCGTCGGAGGCGTTGGCCTGGCCTTCCTGGCCGCAGCGGCGCTCGCGCTGCAGGAGGCGATCCACCGCCTTGATGATGCAGTCCAGGCTTTTGTCCACGTTGAGCCACACGCTGCTCTGCGGGGCACGCGGGCAAGACCGGCGCAAAACAGCACGCACGTCCCGTTTGTTTATTCATTCACAAACCGCTCCACGGCTGCAACAACAAATCCAGCCGCTTGATTGGTCGCAAGTGTTCATTTTGTCTAGGCGCTCTTCTTCCCACCTCCCCCCCTCCAACCCAGCTTAAATATACGCTCCAAGCTTGGTGGTGTTTCATTCTTCACCTGAGGACGGCTGCTTGCGTTGTGGCCGAAACGTCGTGAGAATTATTTTATTATGTTTTATTTTTATTATTTTATTACTTCCCTTCTACGTGACTTTACTGAAAGAACCAAGAAGATGTTTAAGTATGTTCAGGAGTGACAAAAGTCCACTGCTGGATGAAGGATTACCTCTCCCCACGCCATCATACTTCACCATGCTTGTCGGTGCCGACTGGTGTGTGGGAGGGAAACCCCAGGAGTGGTGCATTCGTCGCTCGCCCATCACGACTGATTTTGATTTGCTCGCGATTGTAATCCAAATCACCGGTTTCATAGCGCATTGCGCTAACCACTATACCACCACTCCCCTGCAACTAGGGAAGTGAGATTAGTTTGTGATGTTTAGCTCATCAATATACATGAAGTCAAATTTAATGTAATGTCTGCATTAAAGATAACATTACTGCTTAGATATGTTTTCAGCTTGGATGCATTAATTAATTGATATATAGAGTTCTCATGATGCCCATAGATAGACCTCTCAGGATGCCCATATAAAGATGAAACTTATTCATGTAAAATGTTGGTGATGTGGCCAACGCTGATGTTTACACACCGCACAAGACACTCAGTTAAAGCTGAATCAATCTCCGGGAGGCCCAGGATCGGTTCACGGTGCACGACGCTAACCACTAAGTCATCGCTACCCATGCACATACACACAAAACATGTACGTAGGTACATGACAAAAACATGCAAAGTATGTACTCAGGCACACGCGCACACACAGAGACAAAGATTCCCCACAAAGCCATAAAGACTGTTAGGGCAAGTGCTGTTATCGAGCACTGATGAAGGCCAGTATGGCATGCGAGCGGGTGGGTGGCCAACACCACGCCCGGCCGCCTTTGTCTCCCCAGTGGTGATGTTTACGCATCACACCAAGTACTCATTTGAGTCAACCTCGGGGAGAGACCCAGGACCCATGCAGATAATCGTCGCTAGTGTTGGCCGTGAGCGGGAATCGAACTCGGGTCGCCGGGTTCACAGCGCAGCGCACCAACCGCTGCACGACCGTTCCCCACTACGCACGCACACACAACAACAACAACCGCCATTCGCCACTAAGTGGCAGTGACGTCACCACGACGCTTGTACCAGGCCTGGTACACACACACGCACACACTTGCACACACACGCACACACTTGCGCACACACACGCACATACTTGCACACACTTGCACACACACGCACCCACTCTTCCTCGGGCCACTCGCCGCCGCACACCGCCGAAGTGCCGGCCGCGTTCCCGGCCGTCATCAGGGATGCGAACGACGACGCGATGGACAAGGTGAGCGAGGCGCGGTTCTCCCGGCCCGTCCAGCGAGCCGCCAGCGAGTCGCGATCGTTGCGCAGGACGACGCGGTCCCTGTCCTCGACGCCCTCCTCTCCGCCCCCGCAGCTGCTGCCGCCGGCGCTGCCGCTGGGGCTGCCGCTGCTACCGCTCGCTTCGCCGGGCGGGGTCGGCACGGAGGCGACAAAGTCGGGGCGCGCCGACGCCAGCGAGTGCACGGCACCGCCCAGCAGCTTGCAGTCGCACACCGTCACCAGCTGGCGGGTCTGCGCAAAGACGCGACGAAGCGGCAACAACAAAATGTCGTCATCGTCGTCATCGGCACGGAAAAAACCGGGCACGTTCGGTGGCCACTCTGCTCGACGCGTGCGCCGAGCGCGGGCCCCACCTTGTCGGCGAGGCTGGCGAGGGTGCGCTCCAGGCCGCACGCCGAATGCTCGCGAGCGGCGCGGGAGAGCCGCTCGGCGTAGTAGGCCACCTGCGTGCGCAGCGCCGTGATCTGTGCGTTGAGCTCGCGGGCCTTCACCACGTCCTGCGGCCGCCACGCGCTCGCTCGCGAGCCCATCGCCGGGCTGGCCGCGGCGGGAAGAGCGATGACACGAGGGGGGACACGTGGCATAGGGGAGGCGAGCGTCAGTGGTGTGGCTAGATTCACTGCCCGACTACCATCGTCTTCCCCGGTGCTCATGTTTGTGATGTTTTATGATGTACACACACAACGTGAATTGTATTGGCCAAAACATCCACGAAGCTGAAAATTATCTGCATGTTAGTCAAATTGGATTGCACACAGCAACATGGAGCCTTACTGCAAAAAATTAGCAGGATCCTCTGGACTAAGCGCTTTGAGACTCAGCGACTCATTTATGGGTAAACAAGCATAACAACATTTCACTGCACCAGGCACTCATTGAAGTCGCATAGGCGTGTGGAGGCAACATGAGGGATACGGGATACGCGAGAGACGAGTAATATGGGATACGGGAAGCACATGGGGATTGATTGTATGTATGTTGAACTTCGTATGTAGCCAACCACGCTAATTGGAGCTCCAGTGGCTTCCTAATATTGGAAGGAAGTGCGTGGCAGATGGCCGCAGACGCGCACCGGAAAGCAGGCAATGCAATAGAGTGTATTTGGGAGCATGGTGCAACACAGCAGGAGCATTTTTAGGATGAATCGAATTAATCAGAAGTGACTAACAGCGAGACCTTCCTGCCCTCGTGGTTTGTCATTCCAGTGCGCTCCATGTCAATTGACTCTCGCCTGGCAGACCCAGAGCAGGCAGAACACGGTGTAACAACCATAGCTCCGTTTGTCAACCCGGCAGTTTTTTTCTTCTTTTAAAGCCCTTTGCCAATCCACTGCTGGATAATGGGCTCCCCAAGCCATTCGACTTGTTTCACCGTGCTGGCCAAGGCATAATGGGGCCCGGGACCAGTTTACATTTCACTCACCTCTGACGTCAGCCGTGTAAACTGGGCTATTGCTAAAAATGTCGTATATACACATCATGAATTGCTTGAAAGTAAATTTGAAGGTGTCAGTGCTGAAAACTAACACTCAATGATTGCAGTTTAAATAGATTTTTAGTGAACTAACAAATCATTGCAAATGTGGAGAAATACAAACAGCTGACTTTGAAAGCGTTATGCTGCGTGGGAGTGCGCGTGCTTTCCTGTGCCTACGTATATTTGCGTGCGTGTCGTTGTGTGCGAATTCGAGCAGCGGTGACGCAGCGTGAGGGCACTGCGCTACGAACCCGGGTGACAACAGTTTGACACTTGGTCAGCTTAAAATGTGAGCCCAGTCCAGTGTGCAAACATCAGCACTAGAGTGACAAAAGGCTGCTGGGTGCGATGATAGCTACACCACTCCCTAGTATGCCTTGCTCCCCTTGGCAAGTGCTTGCTAACAGTACTTTCCCCAACAGTTTGTTGAAGCTTGGCTGGGGGATCTTTGTCTTTGTGTGCGAATGTGTATATCCGAGTATAAGCGCCTGTGCATGTGTGCGCGTGTGCATGTGTGCGCGCTTCCAATCCAGTTTCGTTCACCTTTTCTTCGACTCCTCAAATTTGGTCACGAGCTTCCGCAGGCCCCCGGTTTTGAATCCCTGCACATGAGCTGCAGGCGCTCCCACCGTCACGATGTCATACGTGTGGTCTGAAATGTAACAACGGCAAGAATGAAACGCCAAAGAGGCTATTCTGCTCTCTCGTCAGCTACTTACACGTGCAATTATTCACAATCGTTTGACCATATTGCAGCATGCGTTGAGCCGAGACGGAGAAACATAAACAAGGCAGGTGTGCAAGACGGCTTGGGATGATTCCCCTCTCACTAATGTTTGGATATTCAACGAGTTGCTAAAGGCCCTTACACTGAATTGTATCAATGTCAACAGTGGTCTGCTGTAACTTCAGCAACCTACAGTGACCCTCATGAATTACATTATGAACTTGATGACAATTAGCTACATATTTACCATTTTAAATGTGCACTGTAATAAGACTTTTCAATAAGTAATTACTGTACAGTTTAGCATGGTTGTGCGATGTGGCATGTTCTATTTATTAATTTCCTCACAAACTGCTGCGGTCATATCGCAGCAGTGGCCATGTATTTCTTTTAAGGAAATGCCACACGCACATTTCATAGATAGAACTGTGATGCGGTTTCAAAGAAAGGGTTTAGCTTTGTGCGGGTGGGCATTGTGGTCGCACAGGAAATTGTGATACAGACACATTAGAAGCGACCCTAATATAAGGCAACTGGTTAAGTATGGATTGTGATGTTTCTCCGACTACAATTTGGATCTTTGACAAGTTGTTTTACTTCGTGGAAGTATGTATGTTGAGCTTCTTTCGCACAGTACGTAGCCAATCGTGCTAATATCGAAGGTGTGGGGGAAGGACAACAAAGTAAACACAAAGGAGCAGTTCTAAAGAAATTCGTTTTCAATCTAGATTTAAAAGTGCACAGCTCCGATGGCTTCCTAATATCAGAAGCATGAGCGTTCCAGATGGCCGCAGAAGCACATCTGAAAGTGCGCGATGCAGTGACCGTCTTTGTTCGATGGTTAGCCAAAAGTTGCTGCGAGGGTGACCGGAGTTTGCGTGATGGTTGATGCAAAGTACTGTGGTTCATTTGCGTCAAGCACTTAGTGAGCAATGAGTGTGACCTCACAATGCATTCGTTTAGAAAACCCAGTAGCCAATGCAGATCGGCGAGCACCGGACGGACACGGACAAATCTTGCAGCACCCGTCACGAAAACGTGCCGAAGAATTTTCATGATACTCTTAGGTTTTTTCGGTAAAGTCACGTAGGTAAAAAAATAATGATAAAAATAAATAATAATAAAATAATAGAAGAAAAAAATAGAAATAAAATAATAAATCACGACGTTTCGGAGGCAACAAAACGAAACGTCGTGATTTATTATTTAATTTATATTATTATTATTATTATTTTACCTACATGACTTTACCGAAAAAACCTAAGAGTATGAATTCTTGCAGTCACGAAAGCTTCAAATCTAGAATTTTCATGATGTTCGCTGACGGTGACCACGTGTATAGTGTGAACGGACGAGCCACTGCGAGGCGGGGGGAGGCACACCTGTGTGCACGTCGTCCATGACCCGCATGCGCTGCATGTGCAGGTTCACCGGGACGAATTCCAGGCCTCGCTCCGTGCGCAGCCGGCTCGGCTTGAATGACGGGCCTGTTCCGCCACCGCCGGCACCGCCGCCGCCGGCAGAGAGAGAAGCACGTCAACACGGAGCTTTAGATACTCGCGTTCAGCCTGCCGTCGCCAGCGCTGCTAATCTCATACGCCGGGCCATGGCGGGACGTGCCCCTTTGCCATGGAGGGTGCGTGCTTGCCGCCACAGGGCAGTGTTTCGAGCGGTGCAGTGGGGTAGGTTGTGGGGGTGCTGAGTGACGTGGTGGTTATGCAATTTGGTGTGGAGACGAGGATCAGTAGTTCGTGGTGTGTTGGGTAGTGCGTTGAAACATAATAATTTAATACATTTCGTGTTAGCACCATTCTCATAGTGCACAGCTATCACGAAAAACACCATATATTCCAGACGGGTACAGCCTGCCAGTCAGGTGTGACACTGTTACGTGAATTGACCCAAGTAAAGTAATTTGCGAGTGGTTTTTCAAACATGGGCAAAAATTTGACCCGTACCGCCAGCACAGGTGCACCACTTGTTTTTCAAATAACATCACAGGACCGTTAACATCCCACTGCGAAGCAAACGGCGCATATCAGTTTGCGCTGGGTTAGCACACGCTGATTAGCACACGCTGGTTAACACAGTCGCAGTATTAACCAGCGTGGCTTTGGGGCTCGAAATTACAAACCACCGCAGCCAGCGACAAACGCGCTCTCGCTCGGCCATGTGACCGCTGCCCTAGATAACGTGTCGACTGCTGTGGTGGAGTTGATATGTGTGGGGGCATCGTGCGGGTCAATGTATGTGCAAGTGTGTAGTGCGTGACGATTATCTAAACAGATCCTGGGCCTCTCCTAGGTAGACTCAGCCTCAAAGGAGTATCTGGTGCTGTGTGTAAACATCACCACTGGGGAGACGAAGACAGCCACACGTGGTGTTGGCCACCGACCCCATCATGTGCCGTGGTGCTAGCAAATAGCACGTGCCCCAACAGCCTGTTAAAGGCTATACAAGGGGATCTGTGTCCTTGTGCGCAGGATAACGTTTTGAGCAGTGTGTGGTGGTCTGGTGTCGCGAGAGCGTACGTGTGTGGGATCGATGTATGGGATGGCGTACGGGCTAGTGTACATATATGGAGTAGTATATTCTACAAGGGTCATGTCAGTAACAAGCTGCACGCCGGTGGGTGCAATACGTGCCCTTGTATCTGTTGAGCTCGCGCTGGCTCTCCTGGTAGGTGTTGATGACGGACGTGTACTGCATGACCATCTGCCTGCGGAGGCCCTCCCAGTGAGGAGACAACTCGCCCAGCTCCTCCAAAGCCAAGACTCTGCACACGCGCAGACACGACATACCAGTGCGGCCACACCGATTGATGGTGCACGATCTATTCGCTTAATCCAGCAGTGGATTGACCATGGCTGATGGCGAGAACATAATGAAGCGGTGTAGCCAGAAACACACTAAAGCGTCTTTGTTACCCCGGTTCTGACGCCGATACACTGCACCAGGTGCTCCTTTTAAGGCAGAGTCAACCTGCGGCAGCTCCAGGACAGATTGAGATAGCACTTGCCACTGACGTTATCCATGACCCGTTGTTGAACACGTCACCAGGTTCTTAGCGCAGTGTGCAAACCACTTAACGACTGCTCCATATCCACTGTAGTATCACGTGCTCACATAACTTGTATAGTAGATTCAACTGCGCCTTTAACGATTGGTAATATAATCATTATAATGTAGACTTTGACTATCGTGCAGTTGTAACATACAGTAAAATGTGCTTCTACAGTTTATCTTCCTGTCGGCATAGCTTACCTTCGTGTGCACGACAGTTAGAAGTAGTAATTGTATATCAACATGAACAACGGATAACACAGTGTCCCCCCTTCCCCTGTTGGCAATGCAGTGGCAAGGCCGGCACTAATTAAGGCCAGTAGGACACGTGTGGGGGCCAAGTGGCCGGAAGAAAAGATCGGCCACATCAATTCCCCGGGGCACTGCCATTATAACCACAGGTCCAATGAGGTACGGTGCTGACTTTAGCCAGCAATGACCTCCGGGGGCAAGCCGGCACCGGACACAGATGCTCAAGAGCAGCTGTCATCAACCCTACGAGGATGACCCTGCAGCCTCGGTTATAGAAACCCGCCCCCAACTCCAATCATCCCAAAAGGGCTGCAGGGAAGGGAAAAAAAACCCAAACAACTGTGAGCCGTCAACCTCAGAGGACTGCTATCAAGAAGTGACACGTGCCTGTGGCGGAGGGTGGGCACAGGGGGGGAGTTAGGAATTCTTTTTTTTTTAAACAGCTGCGACTTTTTTGGAATTGGAGCCAGCGTCTGTGCCTGTGACTAATTAGACCGGATATCGATTTAATACCCAGCACAGGTGCTTGCCACTGGTACAGGAATTCATCTGTGTGCGCACACCATGCATCTTTTGTTTGATGCTTCCTAAGGCATACTTGTGTTTATCTGGGTGCACAAGCAGACATCGTGTGTGGTGAATATGCTATCGCCTGAATGGGTGTTTACAAGGCTGTGTACGTGCGTAAGGGCATGATTGGTTGCTTAGGTATGTGGTCGGGCGTGTAGATGAGTATGTGCGTGACGCAATTGTGTGGTTATGTGGTTAGGTGTGCAGATTGGCGAGCGGGTATGCGAATACACATGGTTATGTGGGTATTCTGTTAGGTGTGTAGATGAGCGAGCGAATATGCCGGTGCATATTCGCTCACCCGTCTACTGGACATCTGTGAGAAAGAGCTTTCGAGCTCATCGCATTCCTCCAGCATCAATAAATACTCCGATTCTGATAAGACGGGAGTAAAGGTGAGGCGTGTAAACGTGTGTGTCGGCGAGCGAGCGAGCCAGCGTGCGTGCGCTCACGAACCGGGCGCTGTCCTCCTCCACGTACAGCGCCAGCAGCTGTCGAGGTACGTGGAACGACAGCAACGTCTCGCCCATCTGCTCGTGCACGCGCAGCTGATTCCCGTCCGTCGTGGGGAGACGGTACGTGCGGTAAATCACGCCCTCGATCACTGCCGCCCCCGCAAAAAAGTTGATAAATCGTTAACAAAGCACAAACGCATTTGCACGAATCAAATAAAATCGTGTTGTTCACTTACGCTCCCCAGGTAAAGACACCACTTAGGTACAAATGTATTTTGTAACAAGTACAAAGGGGATGCTGCCAGTGGTGTAATGGTTATTATCAGAGTTCACCGGTTAATTCTCCTGGTGGGGCAGTTGAAACAATGGCCAAGTTTGTTATAACACCCTCCCCCCCTCCTGTCCACCCAGCAGTATAAATGGATGCACCCTTTCCCATTCCGATGACAAACGTGTATGACAAAGTTATAAAATACACGTTATTGTTATTATTGTTCAGGTTGGAAGACGTACCGAGGCTCCCACGGGGCCATTGCGGGAGAGCGTGTGGCACAGTTTGGCGCCAGCTATCATAGAGTGCGCCCGTGTCGCGACAGTTCTCTGCGGTGAGTACAATGTCTTTGAAAACAACGGCGCAATGCCTCTCTAAATAAAATTGACGACGAACTGCTTACGCGTTCCGAGACCCCACCCTGCACAACTTGCAGACGTCTCGGAGCGGGGAAAGGGGGCAGAGGTCGCAACCGGGTACCTGATACCCGTACCCTACCCGATACCCGGCTAACCGTACCCGGCCGGGTACAGGTACGGGTACCCGTTTGCGACCCTGGTGCGGCCGGGTACGGGTACGGGTAGGCCGTGAGTCACTGGTGAGTAACTGTTTGTCACTCATTTCCCAACGTCTTGTCTCTTCTCACAATTCAAGTTACTAGAATCAACCCACCCGCGCCTGCAACATGGCTTCATCCCAGAGGTCGAAATCGGGTACCCGATACCCGTACCCTACCCGTACCCGGCCGGGTACGGGTAGGGTACGGGTACGGGTATCCATTTGCGACCCTGGTGCGGCTGGGTACGGGTACGGGTAAGGAATCAAAACCCGTTTGCGACCTCTGAAAAGGGGTAAACATTCCAGTTTATAAATTTTATTTAAAACAAAGCTATGATGATACTCATCTCTCTTTAAATCATTCATTGGCTTTCTTCTACGCACACGAATTACCAGATTTCAGCAGCGTGTCTTTGCGTAGGGATGAGTATTTGGCCCGAACACCCATAGACTCTGCCAAGCTTTCATCCACAGTCAGCACCGTCTGTAGGACCAGGCGATCACAACAATGGTAACAATAACAATCAAAGTGTAGTACGTGACCCACAACCCTAACGCACCGAATCCTGTTATTGGCCAAAGAAATTTCCTTCTACAGATCCACACAGCGGGCGTGAAATCAACTCAAGCCACGACTCTGAAAGAGGACATCCAGTAATACTGTACTTATAAAATCACTCCAACAGGTCCGTCTTACACAACCCTGCAATGGTTCTTCCAGAGTGACTTATTTCAGATCAATCATTCGATGATCAGGTGACACATTGACAAACTTTGGCTCTGTGAGAAAATGCCTACCACTGCTATGACGACGACGACAACGATGATAATACCAGTAGCAATGACGACGGTGAAAAAGTGGTTGACCATCAGAGGCGTCGAGGTGGGATGCTGATGGCGGCGAGAGCATGCGTCCACACACGCACACGCACGTACCCGGCTGTTGTCGGGAGAGCCCCTGTGTGCGGAGCGAGACTCCTCGTGTCTCTCCATCTGCCAGCCGAGTACTGAGATGTTGCCTACTCGCTCATTCTCCGGCGATCTGTGGCGCGGGTGACACGGCGGGCACCGCCCCCCCAAGCATCAGCAGGACCAAACCCCCAAGCAGCGGCCAATCCCGTTTAGATTTTCTTTTTAATATTTATATCCAGAGCGCAAATGTTACGGCTGGTGGTAATTTGACACGAGAGGGCCGGGCCGTTGAGATTTCTCGAGGGATTTGAGCGAGAGTGAGGCCGAGCTAAATTTATAAATATAAACATGGGACGCCTGCAAAGCGGCACAGGCGTCCGTTGGGAGTAGTAACTGGGCTGGCGTGTGTGTCAAGGGTGAACAGGATGAAAGGCGGAAGGAAAGGAGAGACAAGGAAGGACTCACGTTAATGTAATATGCAGGCGGTGGTTTCTGGAACTCAAAAGGTCCTTGATGGTAAACAATGCTGTTCCCAGTAGGTACATCTAGCAGGCGACAGCATTAAAGAACAAAGGCTGTCATTAGTAAAACATTACAACCATCGTCAGCATTGTCAATCGTTAACCATTATTCACCAATAGAACGAAAGAGAGGCAGAAATACTTGCAAACGCCAAACACTTGAGGAAGTTTTTTTTTCAATTTGCACGAGTCTCTTTTAAAAAGTGCTTAGCAACCGAGAATATGAATCACGTCTTGGACACGTCCTTGACTTTTCATGACTGTGGGTTAATTTATTTGTGTTTGGGGCGAAGAGTGGGGAGGGTGGCACTTGGCACCATCCGTCCGCACGCACGCACCATTCCCTGGGTCCTGTCCTTGACATCGTAGACGGAGAGGCGCACGCGCGTGAGCTGCGTGGCCTGCGAGTCCGGCAGGAACGCAATGCTGCTCAGGAAGATAGGAGTGCTGGTTCCCTGCAAGGCATCAGGGGGGGAAAGGGCGGAACGTGATAGAAACGCAGCACACAGCGTGCGCACACTTACAATGGCGTGACTCGCCGCCTTTGTTAAAAAAATAAACTCTCATGTCCATTCGCATCCACACTCGCACGCTGTATATCTGTTGCCATCCCTCTGTCTCCCCGTCCAGCAGTAGATTGACAGAAGAACTGTGCATGTACATGTAGGCGACCGTTAACATAAACAAAAATATCTCGTCTACGTTTTCATGTCGCGACGATTATGAAAGCGTCAACTTCCTGCTTCTACAAAGCAGCAGGGGGAAGCAAGAATGTTTTCGGTCGATGATGAAATATGCAACAAAAATTGCAGACAACTTTCATAGATGGAAAAAAGCGGCAAACAATATTCAAAAAAACTAAACAGGTTACACTCGACACTGAGTACGTTTTGTAAAAAATCGCTTGTTTACACTAACATTCCCTTGAATGTTAAACCACAAGGAGTACGTACCACGACGATGACATGGGTGAAAAGCGCTTCCCTTCCCCACCGCAATCGCACAAGAGCCACAACAACCAATCCCTGTCCCCTCTGTAGGAAATGAAGTTGCACGCATGCACACAGGCTGCTGCTTGTCTCAAGTGCAGCTCAAAAGAAGCCAATGTTTGCCTGGATTCAAACCCACCATCTCACATTAACCCACATGGCCACCTCGTGTCCAATCATTTTAATCAGACAAATTATTTGGAGGTATTGCATTGGCAGTAGTGCACAAAAACAACACTCACATTCTTCATAACCACTGCCTTTATAGATAAATAAGTTTCCCTCACTTTATATAAGTTTCTTTTTGCGCAATTTTGCATATGTATGTGGCGAACTTATCATGACACAAAATTCGCGATATGCGGTTTGAATTCAAACATATGCGGCTGCGCGATCGAAACGTGGGACAACATTGTGTGTGCGCTGTATGCGCTACTGGGCAGGCAGCTGTCTTGTGTGATGCATTGTGCAGTTAGGTGACTGTGCAGTCTATGCTGTGCAATTTGGCTTTGTGCGCTCTTTATTTGGAATGCATCTACCGCAATAAAAGAGAGGGTAACCTGGAGCATCGGTGACGTTTCAGGCAATTGCCTTTCTTCACAGCACAAAGAGAGGCCAGAGAGGTAGAGTCACCATTTCAATCCGAGTTAGTTTAGGAGTTGGGCGCGTAAGGCCCAGGCGGCACAATCACCACCACCGCTATCACCCTCCGCACCGTTACGCGTCTCCGGCGAGGGTTTGCGCGCCCTATGCGCTCACCTCGATGATCTCGGTCTGCGCGTGCTTGGTCCAGAAAGCCTGCGGCGGAGTCGTGACGCTCACGGATACGAACAGGCTCGGTCGCCGGTCCAGCGACGATGTCACGATTTCGCTGCACGCTGCCGGCCGGCAAATCGGCAAAGGGTTAAACGGTGAGTGGTTAAGAGTTGAGACACTTGCCAAAGAACTGGTCAAAGTGCAGGAGAAATGCGGTCATTTGGCTTCTCACCAAGACTGAACTCCAGAACTGGTTCATCCGGATCTTTGCTGTTGGCTGGAAAACAAAAGGTTAATAATTATCCTGCATAATTGTTATTTACATTCGTCAGCAAAACTTGGTTACGGTGTCACCCTCCACCGGTGCTAATTCACAACAACTTGGCTACCGTCATTTTATGGTGGACACAGACACAACAGGACGAATGATCCAAGTGCCTGCAAGTAACGGAAGAGTCGACGTTTGACAGTTTTGCTTTGGTATGACGCGCAGTAGAAAGGTATTGACAAATGCAACAATGTCTCTTTAAAAAACGTGCAACCTGACATAAAGAGCATGAACTGCTCCTTCTTGATTTGAAGCTTTCGTCACTGCAGGAATTACTCTTTGGTTCTTTCGGTAAAGTCCTTCTTCTTGTACTGTACAACTTCTGCATTTTGTAGAATTTTTAATTTTTCTGACATCCATATAATTATTTCAACATGGAAATTGATCCAATATTTGCACATGTTCCCATTTTAATTTAAAAACAGGGCACAACGGCAAGGCAATGCCTTTCAGCCGCGTATAGCGTCACAATATTTCTCCCATACCCGGTGCAAGTGCACGAGTAAAACGAGTGACCCGTTTCTGCGTTGGCGATCCCCGGTCAGTGGTGGAAATGCCACGGTCCAAAGACGGAGACCAGCATCTCTAATAGGACAGCTTTGTTCATCAAATCCGGAAGGATAACGATTATGAGTCTTACCCCTGCTGGTACGACCTTACAAATTGCGAGTTGACGCGATCCCACTGCGCCACTGCGCCGCCCGTTCAATGTAACGGTGCCGCGTCGCGACGACGAACGTCGCAAACCAAATGTGTGAACAGTACGAAGACCCATCCGGAGTTTGATGGGAAATTCCCCGTTGGACAAAGAGGCTGCTGGCCAAAGATTGGCGTTCTAATCATTGATATTCAACGTACAGTGTTTACAAGCATGCACAGCGGTACAGTAACACACATAAGCCACGGGTGCCGGACGCCGATGGAATAGTGACACGAAACCAATTCAAATGCTAAGTATTGAATGGCTTCGCTGGAAACAAGAATAGCAGACTATCATAATAGCCAAGTGTGCTGGTACGTGGTGTGCATGCATAAAAACATTTCCTTAAAGCAAAACAGAAAAAATACCACTCTTTTAAAACTCATCTGCATAGCCTGACATTTTACCATCGCCGCTTCTCAGACCACGTGTGGGCGAGATTTATTTTCACTTCAAGGAAAAACTTTGAGGAAGGCTATAGCCCTACGCTATGCGCACATGTGTGTAAATACGTGTGTCGAACTTCTGTCACACCGTACGTAGCCAACCGTGATAATCGGAGGTGCGGGGGAATGGAGAACTAAAAAAGCAAAACACAAAAAGCAAGAATACCGTGTGTGTGGTTTGGGTGTGTGCAGTGAGGCGTGTGGGTAGTGCAATTGCTGATCGCCATGATCCGTTCACCCAGGCAGAATAATCGGTCTTGGCACTCCCCACGTAGATAGACCCAGCGTTAAATGAAGAGCTAGTGTAGTGTGCAGGCATTATCACCGGGGAAACAAAGGTGGCCGGATGTGATCCTGGCCACTCAACTTACATATATACCAGCACTTTCCCGAACAGTCTGTAAATGCTACACTGGGGGGGGGGGGGGGGGATGATTGCCCTTGTGTGTGCGTGTGTTCGGGTGTGTGTGCATGTCCGTGTGCACGCGTGTGTGTACGTGCGCGTGTGTGCGTGTGTACGTGCGCGTTACGTGTGTGTACTTGCGTGTGTACTTGCGTGTGTGTCCGCGTGTGTACATGCGTGTGTGTCCTTGTGCACGCGTGTGTGTACGTGTGTGTGTGTACGTGGGTGTGTTTGTCCTTGTGCACGTGCATGTGTGTACGTGCGTGTGTGTACGTGCGCGTTGCGCGTGTACCAACTCACGCGTTAGAGGCAGCCCACGCGCCTCGCTTGCCACATCGACCGTGGCCGCCCGCAGTAGGGAGGACCGGCCCACGGGGGACCTCCGGAGGGGAGCGGCCGCCCCCAGCCCGACCTCCTCCCACCCCCCACCGAGGCCACTGCCGCCACCACCACCACCACCCTGCGATCCTTCCCCCGCCATGCAGGGGGCCGCTGCTGCGGGCAGCCGGAGTGGGGAGGGGGGCCGAGGCGGGTCGCCCGGCCGCTGCCGGCGGCGGCCTGAACGTCACGAGAATGACCGCCCGCACGTCCGTCGACCTTTAGGGGCTAGTGGGTAGAGGGGGCAGGAAGGGAACGCTCGTGTCAACGGAGGGGGAGGGAGGAGGAGACATTGTAAACAGACGACTGTGTGTATGACAAAATAAGAATAGGTTTTGACCCTTTATGGCGATAAAACAGGAGGTGGTTAAGATGTTTAAAACACCAAAATAGAACCCTTTTGCAAGGAATCAAGTCTGCATCAACCGTGCATGCTACTTGTGGTGAACGTGCAACAAACATGCGCTGATAATATACTTGCTTTGTATTTGAAAATAAAGAAGGCTGTCTCTGGTATAGGCCAATCAATTTCAAATATGCAAGTATATTTATCAGAGCATGTGTGTTTGCCCGTTCACCAAAACTACGTGTGGTTAATGCAGACATGATTCCTTGCAAATTTTTTATATTTGGCGTTTGAACATCGAAACACCTCCTGCTTTATGGCCAGAAAGGGTGAAACCTATTCTTGTTTTTTTCATTCTTTGATACTGGCAAAAAATATGCAATTGTTTAGAGGACTGTGTGCACTGTACAAGCGAATGGAAAATCTAGCGGTTGCATATTTAGTATCAATGAAACTATGAACTAATTTTCCTTTACCAGGTAAGACCAACTGAGCGACCTGGCCACAAATGATAGCTCAACGAAGTGGCTTATCGTGTGGAAACTTATAGCAGCCAAATACTCTAAACGCGCGTTGATTCTTAATGTGGGGAGGGAAACCTGAGAACCCACAGAAATTCCACGCAAGCACGGGGAGAGAGAGAGACACACGCAAACTCCAAATATACAACAGACGTCAGGGTTCGGGTCGAACCCACAACCTCCTGTATACCAGGCGAGGTAGTTAACATCTCCTGATGATGAGAAAGACACAAACTCCACATATACAGCATGCATCAGGATCTAACCCACGACTTCCTGCATACCAGGCGAAGTAGTTAACATCTCGCCACCATTGCGACCCCTTGAAAAAAATTACCTCCTATAATCACCCTGAAATGTCTGTCCGTCCCGCGCGTGATGTCACTCCACATGAGGCCCACCCCCCTCATTAATATTCATGACTGGGTGGATTTTTACACTCACGCAGAAGGTCGAGCTGAATTCAATTATTAATTGCGCAAAGTCCTTCACAGAAAGCGACGCTAAAAAAAATATCTAAGCAGCACAGTGCTACATCCGTGCGTGAAGTCACTGCAAATGAGGCCCCCCCTTTCATTAATAGTCATGCCCGCGTGGAAATTTACGCACTTCACATGCCGCACCCCACCACAATAACCATGAGCGGATGACGTCACTCCACATGCCGAACTCCTCCCCAATAATCATGAGCTGAACAATTTTTCGCTTTAATATTTCAGATTTACTATAATATACACCCTTCCTTGGACGGGCAAAAAAGCTAGTTGATTATATCAACCATTTACAATTAAAATAGCAACTAAATGCAATCGCATCTCACGACGATTTAGAAATACGGGAGGAAAATAAACATTTGGGGAGGGAGCGTCACAGCAGGGAAACGTGGGAAAGAGAGCGACACCGTTGTACAACCCAATGCTGCCACGTTACAGTGTTGGATTTTTGTTGTTGCACATTTTTACATTGTATCACGCTTTAATTCAAATGGACAGTAAAACCTCGTCATTTTGGTACTTGACAATTCGTAATTGTGGATAATTCGGCACGGCTGCGTTTGCGGCATATATACAGTTTTAGTAATTCGCCACGAGCCGAATTGCCATGCCGAATGATCAAATTTCGGCATACGCGTGGAGCGATGCCACGTGCCACAACCCAAACAGTGACTCAGTCTCGTGGCAGCGCGCGTGGTGAGCGTCAGTGCAGACCCGTTGCTTTGGACTTTACCTTGTTTATGGACTTTACCTTGTTGATGCACTCTGTGCAAGCCAACCCTCTCAGAAATGTCGTCTACACCTACATAGAGAAGTAGTTGAAAGGGACTGAAGCATAAATCCCTTAGTCTGGAATTAATGCAGGTGTGTCAGTGCGTATGGTGTGTGAAAATCAAGCACCTTTTACGACATCAAGAAAAGCCGGGAGAAAATAAATTATTTGGGCAGGAGTCACTGGGGAGTACCATTGCACATAATTCGGAATATTGGATAATTCTGCAAGGCCAGAACCCCGTATGTGTCGAATTAAAACGAGGGTTTACTATATATATTTTATTTCGTTAGAAATTTTGTATGTTCATCCGCACAAAGGAGGGAGGTCAGAATCAATCAAAATTCATCACCAGTGCAAACTGTGTGCTGTGCGATGAAACCTATCGAAGTACACACACTCTTTCATTCCATTGAACACGAATTACCAAAATTATTTCTCTGAGAATAAACATTTTAATGTATTCTTACGAAGGGATTTGAAGGTTACAGAAAGGAAACAATCTATACATAGGAAACTTTTTTAATAGTAATAATGCTGAAAATAAACAAATCATTGCACTGTTTTGCATCTCGTTTTGCTTCCAACGATTTATTTTGCACCGCTTTTTTAGTTTTTATATCTTATTGGTCTTTCCACCTTATTTTATTCCCGGTTTGCTACCAACATAATGTCATGAAATGAGGAATAATATTGAAACATTTTGCAGGGCAGTACTATAACTCAACAACTACAACCCAATGTATCGGAGAACGGATGACAGCGCAAAATATTTTGACGGTGCCTTCTGGAAAAATCCTTTCAGTGGACTGTTTGCAGCCATTTTTAATTTGGAACACAACACATCATGCCTTGACAAAGTGTATCCCGCACATCTCCCTTGCAGAGCATCACTTCTGTTCTCGTGAGCTCTCCATGTGTTTGTACAGCCCTTTGAAAATCCAATGCTAATATGAGGGCTTCCCCACACTTTGCAGAGTAATGGGATTTATTTGAACATACTTCATCACCTCGCTGCACGGGCTGGTGAAGGCGGGGCAGCATATAAGTACAGCACAACAATCAATTTTCTTCACTGCCCTCTGCTGCCCATCGTGTAGCCCACGGCACTATGGGGGGGGCAACCTTTATGTACCATCGAGGCTCAAACCTGCTTAGCTTCCGTGATCTGACGAGAATGAGCACATTTGCGGGCGATTTGATCATGGGCAATGCAGCTGGTTAGGCGTGCAGCACAGTACGTACACCGTATCCTGGAATGTGTATCCAAATCCGTACAGTGCTTATCGGCACAATCGCGTGCACGTTACCCCGTTAATGATGCATTACAGTGGGAGATTATCACAAAAGCTCCGACACACAGATTCAGTGTGGCACTCTGCGTTGGGGACACAGCCCAGCGCAACAGGGATGATGCATCTTTTGTCCCTGACAGGTGAATCCTGGACTTTGTTCAACCCTATCCGTGGAGATTACAGACTAGGGGCTACAAATCATCACACGACTTCGCTTCCAAACACTGTAATTATTTGGCAGTCACACACCACCCATGCATCAGCCAGAGCCGTAAAAAAAAAAATCTATCACACTGTTATCGAGTGCCCACAGCCAAAGTCTCACAATGGCCTGCACGACATTGCTGAACAGTGAGTGCTATGCGATGTAATTGGATGCTCTGACCCGTCCAAGTCACACAAGCTTGGCAGACACATGCTGCACGTCTCCGTTGTGCAACACCACGTCAATAGTGCGCGCCACGTCAAGCTGTGATGCGTCATCCTGTGTGCACGTTATTACCGTTACATTGTCAAGGAATTATTATATTTGAGGAATGTTACAATCAAATGCAATTTCTCCACATTCTTTCATCTACTCGTCCACGGTCGTCCATTTGGCCGCATCTGCTGTTCAAACGCCCCTGGCCACCTCTCCCTCTTTCATCTCGCTCTCAGTCCCTCCTCCACGCATTCTCTGCTCAATCAAGCAAAGGCTTTCTGTTGAAGCCCTCGGTCAGCCTTCGCTCAGTGGGAGGTCGCTCATTTGCCTCTGCTGTGGTCTTCTCCAAGCCATGCATACTGTCGGCTACCTGGCCCTATTCAGGCTCTACACCATTCTGTTCAACTCTGCCCATGACTGTCCGTCTCTCTCCATAAATATAAATGAGGTGTGCCACTTACAAAATGGCCCAAATTTTACCTGTCACAGCAAAGCATCTTAGCCACACTAATCGGGTACTAGAGGAACAGACTTTCAACCTGTCGATACTGTGTTTCTAGATTTGGCGCACTCCGTAAAAGCGAGCCCGAATAATTTGTTCACGTGATTCTTAAATAGCGCTCAGGTGTGTGTTCATGCGTCACTCCGCCAAAAGGTCAAAGTCACATTCTGCCCTCGGTAAGGGAGAGGTTTCCGATCGCTGCTTTGGAGAGAACTCACAGTGACTCTGGCTGTTCCTCCGGGGTCATGCCCTCACGGTGAAGTCAGATGTATCCGCGTGAACCCTGAGAACAAAGCACAGAGGCATTAGGAGCCCGCCGCCACCAGTCGTAGAGTCGGAAAATGTTCACCGTGCATCTTCGGCCCCCTATGTCAATCCACTGCTGGATGCGGGCCTTCCTTCACGCCGTCAATGCCGCGGGGGTTATTTCAATCGAGCTTCACCGCGTTCGACGGTGCGGGCTGGTGAAGGCGGGCAGCATAGATTGACAACGCAGCAACGGATGCTTTCTCTGCTGCCCAAAACGTAACCCTTTGTAACACTTTGGCTCTCTTTGTGTGGTGGCTGTTGCCCATCCATGTGCTACTTGGGGTCAAACCTGCTTAGTTTACGCGATCTGACAAGACTGGGCAGATTCCTGGTGACTTGGTTATAGGCTGATATGTACAAGTGTGCATGTGAATACTTTACACGCAATTCAGTGCGCATAAACGTGCGGCATGAGCTTAAGATGCATTTACCACCTCTTGTGACGGCTCCTTAAAATTACATAACTCATATTTACTCGCCTTTTGCCAGTCCAAAGACGGGTGTATTGCAGTAAATCTGAAACTTGCAAGCGAAAATCAGACCGCGACGTGATGTTCATTGCATCAATGCGTGTGCAATTTGTAAGGGCGCGGTGACACAGACCTATTTCATTTAAAGGTTATAATCCCTTGTTCATCACGACGTCCTTTTTACTTTGATGTCTCAACAGCGTTACGGAGATCACGTGATGACGTGAGGGTTCTGCCTTTGTAGTGAGGGTTGTAAGTTGACGCCGAGGAGGGGGGAGGAGGTGCCTCGCCCCCCATGTGGAGTGACGTCAGCCGCTAATTATTATGAATTGAGGGGGTGTCCGTTTGGAGGACGTCACCTTATGATTATTAATGAGGGGGGCTGTTCGACGTGGAGTGACGTCACGAGCGTTGCACACAGACACTCTCGGCTCATTATAGTCGGTAATAATGGGGGGGGGGGAAGGTCCATGTGAAGGACGTCACCTGCTCATGCGCCATAAATTATTTTATTCAGCTTGACCTGCATTAGTGTAAAAATCCACCCACTCATGAATATTAATGAGGGGGAGTGGGCCTCATGTGGAGTGACGTCACGCGGGGGGGGGCTCATGTGGAGTGACGTCACGAGCATTAAGAACAGACATTCCTGGGTGATTATAGGAGGTATTAACAGCGTTAATGCCTGTTTAACTTAATTCTTTATTTACTGAGAAAAGCCTTACTCAACTAACTTTCTCAGACGATTTGACCTATTCTGTTTTTGACGTGTTGGAACAAGAACATTTAATCTTTGCCGTAAGGCGGAAAGCATCCTGGCTGGTTAGGCATGTAACAATGAAGCAGTTCATCATTTCAAATTAAATTCTTAAGAGCAAGACACATGCGTGGATTCATACAAGTGAGGATCGTCGACAGCATTTACAACTCAAGAAAATGTCACGTTCATATCATGAACAAAACTCTCCTTGGTAAAGGGAAATTCGCCAGCTGTGCAATTGCTTTGCTTGTCCCACTGTTGAATGAAAGGGATCCAGGGAGTATTTGGCCTACTGCTCTATGCTAGACCAGACATCTTGGAAGAGGTGGTGCGCTGGGTGGACACGGAGGTGCGGATGAGATTGTTCAGCCTCTTTATATACTGCATATAAATCTCATTTGAATTTGTATTGTTTTCAAATGAATTGAACTTGTGACCTCTGAACTCCAAGCCCGGTGTGGCTAACCCCATTACACCACGGCAGGATCCCACAAAAAAAATAATGTACGAAGGAAAAAAAACGCAGCTACAGTAAACGGAAGACGAATAAAATACTTCTTCTTTAATCAAATCGCCATCCCAAAATTTGACAATCCATCAAATCTCTGCGGAGGTGAATTGTGACAAGTGCCCCGGTTGACCCTTGCGGGTGGGTACTGAGTGAATACATTCACGTTGGGTAGAAATCGCGAGAGTAAACGTTAATCTCTGGGGAGTAATGGGCACAGCATTAGCTTTATATGAGATCGCTTATGAGCATGAGCGTGGCGTATCAGTGAACGAGTAAAATACATTTAGGACACAATGCATTCACAATTTGGATTTATCAGAATAAAAGAGAGTGGCTGCCGAAGAAGGGGAAACATGCCGGTGAGCACGTCCACCACCCAGAAATGAAGCCATGAAAAATTAGCTCAACTGCAGGATCATATTCTTGGTTCAGAGAACAGGGCTGTATATAAAGACGCTGTCTTTCAGACAGCTCTGTTCTTCACCTGAGGACGTCTGCTTGCATTGTGGCCGAAACGTCGTGAGATTTTTATCGTTATCATTTTATTATTTCCCTTCTACGTGACTTTACCGAAAAAACCAAGAATATGAATCCCTGCAGTCACGAAAGCTTTAAATCGCAATTTAACTGGAGGATTGTTGCAACACACAAGACTGTGAGAGACAGAGGGCACACTTGGGTGAAGCCCTTTACGCAGCAGCGGATTGATCATTGGTCACCGAAACAATGGGACAAATCTACACCAAGGAGCAGGAACATTAATTGCATGACTGGCACTGTACGCTGTTATCTGCGAGCACTGCTGATGCGGTGAAAGCACCGAAAGAAGAAAAGATACATCGGCTCTCAGGTCACGAAGCCTCCTTCCCTCCGAAGAGGCTCACCACCACCGATTTAAATGTACGCCAAAGATCAATACCTATCCCTTACCCGACGGCAGCTCCATTAACGTGAACGCAAATTTGGCAGCGCAGTTAGCCGAGCCTGCGTTCCAATTCCCCTTGCCCGGCTTCGCACCGACGCGGGGACGTTCAAGGGGCAAGCCTTCGGGCTTTCAAATCCCGGCAATGATGGCCAGCGAGAGCCTCGTCGCGAGAGCCGTGGAGGCGTCACAACTGCCGTGCGTCAACCAACCAGCCAATTGCAGGTCGTAGAAAAGCCGTGCCATGCAACACAACATTAACCCCTTGCAGCACGAAGGGGTCATGCCCCGAGAAGTCTTGAACCGCATAGCAATACAACTGGCGATAAAAATACATTTCTGCGGAGGGAGCTGGTAGGAACGTTGGGTTGCTCGGTCAATGGCCAGGGTCAACGGTGGCGTGGTGTATTCCGCAAATATGCCCGACTGTGAGGGCGGGCACAAGCCGGCGTGAGTAGGTTAAACGTTGAGTTTTATAAGGGCACCACGGGGTGACCAGCCCCTCCCCACCCAGCCCCACCCCTCCCATCCCCCACCCAGCCCCACGCAGCCCCTCCCCACCTAGCCCCTCCCCACCCTCCCCTCCCCACCCAGCCCCTCCCCACCCAGCCCCTCCTCACCCAGCCCCTCCCCTCTCCACCCCTCCCATTTTTGGATGCACGACGGACGGACACAATAATCCCCTGTGGGCTGGTGTAACCAGGAGGTTCCTACCAGTATAAAGTGTGCATACTGCAGGGCTGTCTGGTGGACAGCAGGGGGCAGTACAGCAAAATCGACGATTCTACTGTGCCCCCACGCCCCACCCCACATGGCCATTCTCCCTGCCTCCAATAGCCTGCGCTGACCAGCGTGAAGTATGGGAAAATATCGCACAAGCCACATGGCATCAACATGCTGATGTACGCTCTGTAAGTTGAAAAAAACAATACACTACTATGGTCACCCATACAAACACAACCCAGGCTCCAAGCAGCTTAGCTTTACCGAGATCGGGTACATCGTGGACGAGTCTGTCAAAAGGCCAGTTTGTACAAACACAGAGAAGTGAATGTTCTAAGTCACAGTAGCATGGTTGGCTAGAGTAATGATGTTCGAGAAGGCTGTGTCCTCCGGCAAACAGCAATGGTAAAAATGTGCCTCCCTCTGGACGCTCAGATCTCTATCAGCCACCGCGTCACAAACGCGTCGCCAAGTCACTCGACAGGTGACGGAAGGTGAAATGCCACGAGGCATTTTTATTGGCAACAAGGCCTGCCCACCTGCTGTTGATTTCCCGTCAATATTTAGACGTGGCAGGTGGTGTTGGGCCTGGATGAAGCGCTTGTAGAGTGCTGACCAGAGGTCGCAAACGGGTTTTGATTCCTTACCCGTACCTGGCAGCACCAGGGTCGCAAATGGGTACCCGTTCCCTACCCGTACCCTACCCGAAATGAGTGACAAACGGCTACTCCCCAGTGACTCATGGCCTACCCGCACCCGTAACCGGCCGCACCAAGGTCGGAAACGGCTACCCGTACCCGTACCTGGCCGGGTACGGGTAGCCGGGTATCGGGTAGGGTACGGGTATCGGGTACCCGGTTGCGACCTCTGGTGCTGACACGGGTTGAAGATCATTCACAGCACGTGCTATGGCTGCAGGACCACGTGGTGCACAGCAGAGGGCAGTGCGGGAAAATGCATTGTTGTACTGTGTACCTATGTACTCTACTTATATACTCCCAGGGTTGAACCTGGATATAGTTGCTGGAATACTGCCGAGATTGGCGATCACGATTCGTAAACAAGGATTTCAGGCTCGACGTGGTTACGAGAGGGCAATGTTGTACAGTACTTCTATGCATCCATAGCTATTCTCTCCCCCTTCACCAACCCACACTGACCAGTGCTGTCAGACATTGCCCAATGATGTCGCACATGGCGTGGGGAGGCCCTTGCCCTGCGGCAATTGACAAAAGGGTTGTACACCGCGCGTGTACATGTTAACAGACCTCTCTGCATGTGCACGTATCGCTCACAGGCCACAACTGCTAAGATTATATGCTCTCTTCTTGGTTCTTTCGGTAAAGTCACGCAGAAGGAAAATAATAAAATAATAAAAATAAAACATAAAATAATTCTCACGACGTTTCGGCCACAACGCAAGCACGGCTGCTTGCGTTGTGGCCGAAACGTCGTGAGAATTATTTTATTATGTTTTATTTTTATTATTTTATTATTTTCCTTCTACGTGACTTTACCGAAAGAACCAAGAAGATGAATCCCTGCAGTCACGAAAGCTTTAAATCGAAATTATATGCCCTCTCGCACA